AAATGCCATAATTACATTATTAAAAAGCCATATATATTATTGAAAATCTAACATTTACACTTTGTTCATATCTATTTGAATCTTATAATGATTCACTGACATGTACAAATCAAAAAAACTCATCGTCTATTTGATACTTGATAAGATAATAATAAGTAGAAACACCTAGATTTTTTTAATGAAATTCTTAAGTTTACAAAGAGATTTTTAATTATTAACAATTCTAGTCGGCTATTATACTATAAATATTAATTTAAATTTAAATTAGGAAGGAATTATTATATTGCTTTTATAAAAATTTATTTATTTGTGTAATAAAATATACTAATATTTAATTTTTAAAGAATGTAATATATACAAACAATAATAGACAAAATTATTTAATTAATTTAATTATTCAATTAATTATTGATTGACTCTATTTGTTTTGGAATTTTGAAAATACCTGTTTTAGTAAAGATATCTGTAATAAAGTTGGAGTTGTTACTCATGTATTATCTTATCTAATAGGTATCATGATATCTTTGGATAGGTGTGGTATATTGCTTTGCTGAACAGAGTTGGAAAGATATCATACATTCTGTATTGGAAGTAACTGAAAATCATTTGCGGTAAGTATTTTATAATTTCCTAAATGTAATTTCATTGTTTTATAGCTGTTTCTTCAAGTATAAAATATATTTAGCTAAATACAATATATTCATATATATTTTTATATTAGCTTGTATTACTTTGTGGTAATCAATATAATGATATTAAATTATAGGAAGTTAATATTAATTTCACATTTTATACAAATCCAGTTGCAGTAAAATGGCAAAATTTTGGTATTTTCTTATCTTTATCACTTTAAGTAAGTACTTTTTATCAATAAATTATAAAGTCCAAAGCAATATAGCTTGTTACAAAATTTTATTATTGTTTACTTTTAGCTGTACGTGCACAAGAGAATGCAGCTCGAAATCTTTCACCATCTCTTCGAGAATGTTATGACAACAAATATCTTTTGGAAAGAGATAATAGACTGCCGCACACTTTAAATACATTCATTGCGATACTTCGTAAAATTGAAAATACAGAAGGTCTTAATATGGACCTGAGAAGTTTATCTGTTGCACTTCTGCATCGGTAAGTTCAATATATGCTTTAGAGAAATAGTAATATTGAGTAAAGAGATAATTTTATTGATTCTGATTTACAGTTTTCGACAAGATGGTATTGCTCCGAATCCTGCTATTCCTAATCAAGATGGAATATCACCCTTTGCACCAATTGCTCATCAATTTTATCGTTTTGCTCAAACTCTACGTCTTATACCAGGAGATGCTCTCACGTTTCCTAATAATAGTATCACAGATGTTGAAAGGGTATGTATGTAATTTAGACTGTCATATTATTTTGTATATATTTCCCTAATAGTTAACTATTACATTGCAGTGTACATTACACTTTATGTTATCAAGTAGTATTGAAATTTTTCAAAGAGGGGACGAAACAAAAGTTTGTAGACTTGCTGATACATACAGATATCCAAGGGATATTAAAAATAACGATAAGGCAATGATTAAAAATACTGCTAATGATGTAGAAACTTTATCATCTGATGAAATGTAAGTAGAAAAAGTCCGCATAATGTAATTGATATCAGAAATAAGATATAATTTTTATACAGAAAAAGTATGACTAACGGGAGAAATGAAGGTAACAATGTTACGGTTGATCCAAATTCGCGATATCCAGAAGTACCGCCTAATCATCCAGATAGTGCACGGTATAGAGGTACAGAACCACTATCTCTTAGTGAATGCCCTGTAGAAAATGGTGTTGTAAAAACTCCGTAAGTTAATAATTTATTGAAACAATTAGATGAATTTAATTCATTATTTCATTAAAATATATACGTTTTTAGATGGGGTACAACTTCGTTTGGCTTAGTACTAGCTGGAATAGCTGCAGCTACACAACCAGAAACAACCAGACTTCCCGAGTTGCTATCAGCGGATGTTTTAAAAAAGAACAATTCAGATGTAATGGATCGATCTTTAGAAAACAAGTGGCTTGCGACTCTAGCTGGTAATATTAATCTTTTGAGATATAAATCATTAATAAATTATTCTATAAAATACATGATATTCATTATTGAAATTATAGGAGATTTGGCAGAAGTAGCTTTAAGGCAAGGCCCTAAAAATAAAGATATCAAACTTAATGTTGGATTAAATGGCCATTGGAATTCCACTGCTTTGCCACGATGGTATTTCTTGAATTCTAACAGTAATTATGAGATGACAACAGCAGAAATCAGAGGAGATTTAGATGGCTTAATTTTGGCCAATGAAACTGGCAAATGGTATTCTAGAATACCTAATTTGAGACTTTCACAAATTTTTGACATGTACTATAGTCCAGTAGGATTCTTTGACTCATCTATTAGAGCATGCAATCGGAGAACACTGTTCACATCTGTTGCACCAAATGAAACATTGGTTGCACAGGTAAGTTAATTTTATATCTCAATATTAAAATGTTTAATTAGTTTATAAAACAAACATTTTTTGTTATTGTTAATATTCATTTTTTCAGACATATAGTGCTTCTATATTGTTAGAGGATCTAGCACACGCAACGCTTGAATATCCGATAATTGAAAAATTGTCAGTGCAAGCAGTAAACGAATTAGTGAAATATGTGCGTAAGTATTAAAGATGAAATTTCATATAAACGATTCAGATATATTTGTTAGATTAAACATAAAAGATTTATTTGATATAATATTTTTATAGCTACATCCATGAATAAAGATCTTTCATGTACTGACACGGATAAATTATGTAGTTTCAATCAAATGTCTGTCGATTTAACGATTATTTTGGACACAAATTGGGAATTCTCCATAATAAAACCTATTCTTGCACATTTATTGGAAAACATAAACATAAATCAATTTAATTCCAACTTCACATTAATAAATGGTCAAGATGGAACACCAATGATTAATAGTACTTCTAACATTTTGGATTTCCATGCCTATAATTCATCTCATTACTATGGAAATAGTATGTACTAAACATAAATTAATAATAAGTGATAAATTACAACAAAATTCGCTGTGAAATGATCTTTTTCAGGCACTCGTGGTTTTGATTTAGCTAAGTCGCTCAAAGAATTGGAAGCATATTTAAAGAATAAACTGAATGCCGAACGTGTTCGTGGTGTTGGTGGAGCACGTTCTGATATTGTTTTAATTGTTCCATATATTTCTAATATATCTAAAAATGACAAGCAATATTGCTTGCAAACTATATTGCAAATACGAGAATATATTCCAGGTAAAATTTTATATCACTACAATAAACTTTTGAATTAGATGAATACTTGTATAGTTTATTATTAATTATTCTTTCAGATACAATCATACTTTTTATGGCCTCATCCAAAGATCCGTGGTCCGATCTAGTACAAAATCATATGACAGATTTATTCTCTATTAGTACTTCTATTGGTAAAGACACAGAAGAAGCTTTAGAACCAATAACCAACATAGTTTCAAGAATGAAGCAAGGTAAACAAAGAAATATTAAACTGACATTAAAATTTTCATATATAAATTAAAAGAATGATCATGGTGTAAAATTTGTTATAGTTCCCAAGCGTTTATTTAATTCCCAGTGTGGATCAGATTATATTTCATCTGGATCTTTGAATTCATATGATGATTATATTGTACCAAACGGTATTAGTTTTTATAAATTACATCCCAATTACTTTTTTAACCATAATACAGCAATAGTAAAAGTAAGTTCCTTTCTTTTTAAATATTATTAGTTATTCTATACTATATATACACAACTCGCGAAATCTAAAGACGAAAATCTAGAATAACAAAATTGGAGACCTTATTTTCAAGAAAATCAACTTTACAAACTTTTCGAGTATACCATGTATAGTATTGGTAACTGGTGGTACAAGCGGAAAGGGGGTGATTCTACGCCAAAAAAGAAGTCGAAAATATAGAATAAAAATTCTTTTTTTAATTTCTTTTTAAATCTACAGTGAGATCCGTTATAACGAGACGTGATAAAGTGCACGCGTACCGAGCGAAAATTCAAAGTTGATTTTCTCGAAAATAAAGCCTCAAACGAAAAATTTTTATTCTATATTTTCGACTTCTTTTTTCGCATAGAATCACCCCCTTTCCGCTTATACCACCAGTTACCAACTACCCTGTATATATATATATCACGTATAAGCGTAATTTCTGGCTGAACAAGAGACAATGGACAAGGGGTTATTCTACATACAAAAATAAATCGAAAAAACACAATAAAATTTTGTTGTTTAAGATTTCCTTTTGTGGAAAATAGAGTTCTGTTATTCTTGATTTTGTCTTATTTTGAGGTATAAAATTTCTTTCGACTTTACTTTATTTGGAATTTAGGACTACGGTATATACTATAGTAATATCATTAATATTATATCATTATAAGTAATTATTTTCAGATCCAGGGCTCTGAATCAGATAGTTTAGTTGTGTGCTCATCACGAGCACCATTATACGCCAATGCAACAGAATCATCAAAATCATGTGCATCAATATCCAATGATGTACATAGTATTACAGTTTCTTGTGCTGATGCTACTTTCATTCGTGATTGTCCACCACTATATATATCAGTAGCTTCAAACTCCACAAGTATTTCTTATAAATGTACTGGTAAGTACATTGACTCATTTTAAATTAAAATGACAAAAAAATAATTTAATTGATGTTGATGATAAATAACATTTCCTTTTTAGATCCACGAGTTTGCAGAATTCCTACTATGATAAAATACACTATATCTTATGAAAACATGGTGTGTGCCAATGAAGCAATTAGATTTACATTTAATATTTCTATTTTGATGATAGTTTTAGTTGTATTAAATATGTAACAATTGGCAAATTTTATATATAAATTTAATGAAATGACTAATCATATGAAAGTTTTTGAAACAAGCTTTAAGTGATGAAGGAAGATTTTATATCGAATATGTCTGTTTTTAAACAACGACATTCTACATAAAGATATGCGTTCATTATTTATCAATTAGATTTTTGCAATATATCATAATATAAAAAGCAATTAGCTACATATACAATGTTTTTACACAACAGATTAAAATAACAATTTGTATATAAGTTTTATAAATAGTATATTACCTCTTATAACAGAAAATATACTATGCTTCAAATAAAAGGTTTACAAAGAGTAACTGTATGATCTATTCCACAGGCTACCTTTTTTACTTGTGCTCCTACAGTTACCTATAATACAAATTATCGTTCTTTATTACTATACTATTTTTTAATGACGAATATAATTTCTTTACCTTCAGTGGAAAATACTGGTCTTTCAAATCTCCTAATCCTAAAGACCCAAATTTGTTACAACCCCACATATACAAATCACCTGTATTCGTCAAAGCTGCAAGATGACTCATGCCACAAAATATCTTTACCACCTAGAAAAAAAAATGTAATTATATCGCTTTTTTTCCTTCTATAACCTTAGAGTGAACTTACTTTTGTATTCTTCTGGTATGCATTATTTCCAAAAAGTACAGATGGAATTTTAATTGGTTGCTGAGATTTTTTGACTTCAGGACCAAAACCAAGAATACCATAACCCCATACATAAACTTCACCTGTATCTAATAAATTCATATATACAAATTGTATGATGCATGATTATAAAAATAATTAAACAACTGGATAAATGCTTACTATTTAAAATCATGCAAAAGCAACCACCACAGGCAATGTCTACAATATGACCTAATTTTTTCAATGCACTTAACTCTGTAGCTATGTTTATCTGTTGATTTTCACCTTCCATAAGTAACTGTGCATATTCAGAATTACCCCAACCAAATACATTTCCTTTATCTGTAACCATGTGTTCAAATAACTGTATAATATCTTGTTACTGTCTATTTTTACTCAAAATAAGACTGTATTAATACATGAATATTGCAGATACCGCTGAGTGCTAATACACAATCTGCAACGCATGCAACTTTTATAATATGTTGGCCAGCCAAATCTCCTTTCACCAAACTTGGTCTATGCTCATTTCGATAATGTGCCAATCCAGTTTGTCCATCTGCACCCCAACCAAACGTATACACTTCACCGGATTCTGTCAAGAGTATGCTATCATATAGCAGTAAGGAAGAATTCTCAAATATTGTAATGAACTATATGTAAAGTATTAAGAATTTCCATACCTATGATCTTGACCAGCTGTTACAGCTTTTATCTTTTTTTCCTTAATATTAGGTATATGATGGACAACTCTACTATTCTCATAATTTTCATTTAATATTATAGGGCGACCACATTGTCCATATGCATTATTTCCTAATGTGAATACACCTTCATTTGTTAATACCAACAAATGTGCTCTTCCAGCTGACATATCTAGGACTTTAGTAGAAGAATCTTTAATTGGTAAATTAATAGGTCTTGGTTCAGTTATTAATCCATTTGGGAATTTTTTATCTTTTTCATTGAAACCTAGTAGCATATTAAAAATTATATTTTAATATGAAAAGATATTTTTGATGAATTTATTGCTAAAAATAAAAGATGGCTTAAATCATAATTTTCTTACCAAGCTGGGAATCTGTATTTATTCCACTCCCATATAAAATATTTTTATCTTTGGATTTTACTGCAAAAGCAGTAAACCCATAACCACAAGTTATGTCCATTACCTCATGCTTTTCTCCAAAAGCTAATCTTTTAGGTCTCGGAATATAAGAAATACCATTTTCGAAAATCGTTGTTTTTAACGTACCAAGAGCACCATGTTCTGCCAAACCCCAAACATATATTCTATGTTCTCTTTCGTTACTTATTGGATACTGAAAAACTATATATCATAAATTAATAATTATTAACAAAAAAGAAAAGGAGTGTGTGCATATATGTATGCAGCACTTTCTCATTGATAAATATTTATGTTTAGAAATTTGTGCTCCATGTTTTGTACATTTTATTTAAATTTTTCTTATAGTTATTTTCTTTACCTGGCAAAGGTTTTGAAAGTGGTATTTTATTCTTGGTTTTACTAAATTCTATAATTCTGTTCGGTTGTTGTACATTTTTTTTCAAACTTGTTTTTATTGTGTTCAACATGTTTGTAGCCGTTTACTGCTTAAGAAATTTTACAGATGTGTCATAAGCATCAAAAGTTAATGATTCGGATAAATTTCCTTGAATGATCAAGTTATCAATTTTTCGATAAATTTAATAAATTATAAAGCGTGTTTATTTTCAATAATCTTCTGAATACCGACTTGTATACTCTGTGAAACTTGTTAATAGCATAGATTTGATTTTCTCGTTGTTTTCCAATTTCCTTCTCACTACAGAATTAAAGGTTCTATCTCATGTGTAGCGATTACCGGCGGAGTATTGTATGTCAACGACATTTAAACGCGCGTAACTTGAATAATGAAATCATTAATTCATGTTTCATGAAAAAAATTGTAATGCATGTACTATTATCGTATTATATTATAGAATATAAAAACAATAAAAAATGAAATAATTTGGACGAAATTGAAATATTTATTATATTACACTGGATTTGTTCCTTCATTTTTACTAAAATGTTTAGTTTATGATAAAACGTTATTCCGAATTTTGATTAATAATACGATAACTGCTTTAAAATATGCAAATGGATAAATAATGGATAGGATATTTAGTTGGCAAAGAATTTGTGTAACATTTAAACAAGTAGAGATAATAAAAATGTGGTATGAAAAGGAATAAAAATCAGGAGAATTGTGATCAGCATGTTCCTATGGATAAGGATGGAAGGATAGTAACTATGGTTATTTCTCGACAATGCACCTAGATCGTGGATGAAAATAGATTTTTAGTTGTGAAGTCACACGGATGCTCTAGATATAATTCGTGGCAATTCCGTGAGTGAATTGGCAGCCATTTTTAAACTGCTTACTTAGTATAATAGAGTAGGAAGGATATGAATAATGAGAAATCGGATCACGAGATAATAATATGTAAACGCGTGATAGATTAAATGTAGCGTGAATCGGGCGTGAAGACGGAGGAAAGGACGATACGGAATTTGTCGAAGTGTGAATATTCGTTTCGAGTGGACGGTACTCGAGCGAATATACTTCTTCCCCGTGAAAATTGATGAAATGGTGAACTGTCAACACCTCTACAAAATGAGAATATGAATATAATTCGAATAACCGTAAAGAATAATAATCGGTCGGGTCTGAAAGGTAATCGTGACGATTTTTAATAGGGATTATTAGTTCAAAGCCGAGAGGCCCCGGCTAAGAGCGATGTCGGTTTTAACATGCAAGAGAACAACGAATGCAAAGATCGTGGCTCTCGAATGCTAAGTTCCTATAATAATGGCAGATAATGTACACAGAAAATCGCATAAGCTATCGGATGGTAGTAGAAAAATATCGAATCCAGTGCATCGTACGACCACCGAGACGATTCGGTTAGGAGAGCCAGAGAAATTGTACCAGCCGGTTAGTTTGACCAGTTCGAGCAACGTGACGGCCAGTAACCAGTGTCGAAAAAAGACATCCTCCTTCCAAATAACAAGCGTTACCGTTGGTTCTCGTATGAGCAATGATGCCGGCGAAGATTCTAACGATGATCTCGATGAGTCGCATACGGAGGACAATTCAGTCGAACACTCGCGTACCACCGACATGGACATTGAAACACCTAGCTATTCGGAAGACACCTTCTCCAAAGAGGATGTATTCTTTAATACAAGTAACGCTGCCCTCAGCACTGCTCCGGTGATTCCTACAAGTTCACAGTATGGCTTGGCAATCGTGCCCTCAGAAGGGAATAATGTTAGTAATTCAGTAAATGATAGTAATATCAATACATTGGATATTACGTCTGTTACTGACAACAATATTATCAATTTACTTTCGAGTAATGCCAAACAAGATGCAGATCTACGTGAAGTACATTCGCATGGTAGAAACGAGAGATTTAAAGTGGTCAAGATCGAAAGTACTGAACCTTTTAAAAGGGGCAGATGGACTTGCATGGATTATTTGGATCATACATCGGTTAATCAACCGACAGCAATCAGTACACCTAAAGTGTCTGATCCAAATGAGGTATGCATATCGTATGGGGTTACAGACAGTGGAATCGTTATACCTGATGCACCTAAACAATCAGTCGTATCCGAAGATAAAGGTATGGGCATTGATGCTAATGGACAAGTATCTGTACATACAGATGTGCATACATCGATCGGTGTACCAAACAACCCTACACCAGTTTCAAGTGCTAATTATGCAGTAAGCAATTCCATTCCTCCCAATGCACAGCATAATCCAACGCAAGTTCAAACGCAAACTAAAGTTCAACCACCTTCGCAAATTCCCCAATATTTTCAATCTTCTGCTCAACAGTTGGCATCTCAACAACAACAGCAAACTGGACAAGGTTCCACGTTACCTTCCAATCTGCAGCCAACCCATCCCAGTAATTTGACTCAACCTCAAAGTATGCCCCAAGGTTCTATTCCTATTATAACACAGACTGGCAATAGCAATGTGACACCCCAACAAAACATACCTCATTCAAAAGAAGATACATATGTGACAGTGAGCACACAAAATCAGTCATTACCAGTTCAAAACGTTTGTCAACCCCCTGTGCAGCAAACACCTGTACCAACATCCCAGGCACCTAATATTCTTGTTACGCAGCAACAGCAACAACATGCTGCTCAACAGCAGCAACAGCAACATCCTCCAACTCAGCAGCAGCCACAACAGCAGCAGCAACCCCAACAGCAGCAGCAACAGCAGCCTCAACCTCAACAACCATTACAAACACAAAAACCAATGACTCAAATATCTGAGCCGTTGACTGCCATACAAGGAATGCAGGGCATCCAAAATATTCATAAAGTTCCTCAAACAGGTGCACAGCAAACTTCATCAACTATTCATGCTCCTGGAGCACCAGTGCAATCCCAAGTGATCCCACCATCTCAAATGCAATCTTCAACTTCTGGTAGCAACGCCCAAGTACAAATGGCACAGGTATCAGCTACCTGCCAAAATGTTGTAGGAGGTATGCAGCAGGGAAATATGACATTTCATCAACCAGATCCGGAGCAGGATTCTATTTCAGGCATTGTAGCTGGATCCACCACTCAATCAGCTGATACAACTCTTTTAGAATCACTAACTGAAGTCACTCAAGGCAGCGATGAACATCATACCCTCGAAGATAATGAAAGGTACAGTTTATTAAATGTACTTTCAATCACTGAAATTATGTATTCATTAAAACATTACATATATCTAGTATTATTGGCTAAAGGAATATTCAATTGAAATTTCTTCTTTTAGAAACAGAAAAATAGTTTTTAACAAGACTGTGAATTTACTTGCTGTAGCATATACATATTTTATTAATAAATCTTTGCATGTAACTTTTATTGCAGTATGTCGGGGACTAGTGCTGTAGCAATTGATAATAAGATCGAGCAAGCTATGGTGAGTGTGTCTGCTGTAGGGATAATTATCCGATGACAATAAAAAACAATAATATTGAAGTTAATAGAGTATTTTCTTATAGGATCTTGTCAAGAGTCACTTGATGTTTGCTGTACGGGAAGAAGTTGAAGTACTCAAAGAAAAAATAGCCGAGCTTATGGATCGTATAAATCAATTGGAAGCTGAAAATTCAATCCTGAAAGCACACGCGACTCCAGAAACATTGGCTCAATTGAGCCAATCAACAGCAAAATTACCCCAAAACAATTCAGGAAGTGGTCAATAGGTAACCATTGTACATAAGTTTCTATTAATACTTTGTCAAGTACATAACGGATAATATAATTATTGTATATAACTTTACGATTTTTAGAAATTTATAAACAATGAGATTTATTATATTATACATATTAACATTAGTAATCTTTTTTTTAAGTAAATTAAAGATAATAGATTATTTTTTACTATTTCAGTTTACTGTTTAGGAAATATATATATATAAATAATAATTTAAATCTGTAAATTCAATTTTCTTTCAAAATGATAATCATTTTGGAAATATATATTGTTACGATCCTAGACAGAAACAAGGACATATATTGAGTGCATGCCAAGATTAAGCAGCATAAATAATGGAGTTGATATTGTTTTATGATAGATCCAAGATTTTGAACATGTTAAAAAAAGAAAGTATATAACAATATGAAATAGGCAGCTAGACATTCCTAGATTATTTTTCCTATTACCTTCGCATTTGGCCAAATTCATTCACCATAAAATTGATTGAAAAGAAAAAATTGATAATTCAACCTAAGAGTTTAATGTTCAAGGAACATTTGTATCATTTTAAATTACATGTGATTTTACATTGATATTTTGTTATCATTTTCAGTCGTAAAAACAGCTTTTTTACGTAAAACTATGTAATTTCCAATATCATTAAACATCAAGTCTCATATTTTGTAATCTGTACTCTCGTGTTGTAGTCTCATTTTTAAAATATGTATTATAATCAACATGCTGAAATCCAGGGAAGCAATTACTACTGGTATGCATTAAAAGAAAAATTCTACAATTTCCTGTCAACATTTTATGTTACATCTTAAACATGCCTAATAAAAAATTTTTAATTGTATAATAATTTGTTAAAATTCCTAACAAAGTAGAAAGAGTACTATTATGATATACAAAAGAAAAGGAAACGGAACAAATTTTAAAACAATCGTTTCTGATGATACGGGGTTGCCATTAATCCATTTTCTTCCATGACTTTTAAGATGTTTTTTATTCACTAAAATGATCACTATAATGACTAAAGATGACACTTTAATATAAAATCTTATTATGATGGAAACCACGTCTTTTTGTTCAGTAAAAGAAATCAGAATTCATAATTACACCTTATAAATTTATAAATGTTATAAATTTTTTTTAGGAAGGAAAAAAATAACAACATACAACTTCTTTTTCGTTTCTTATATCATTATCAATAATGTGACTCCTTTTTAGAGCTATTGCGCACAAACATGGTCACATAGCATATATAATATACATAATATATATATAATATGTTACATTATATATATCTTATGTATACATATAATTATATATATATAATTATATATATATAATATATTATATATAATATATATATATTATATATATATTATATATATGGAATCTATATATTCATACAAATCCGAAATTCTTTGTCTGAATAGCAAGTAGTAGTTTATGTCTTAATATGTGACGAGAGCTGTACAATGGAAGATATAGTCGGGAAATACATGTATTTGCAGTTGGTAGATGATCATCTGCTGGTCGTAATGTCACACTTGGCATTGGTTGAAAACCATCTTCACTTGCTGGTAGTGCTGGAGATCCTGTCCAGAAATATACCTAAAATACAAGTGTAAAGAGATAAAAGATGCATCATTTATAAAAAGTAGAGCAAAGACAATTTTTTCTTACTAGTAAAAATGTTTGAGTGTGATTTCTTACCAAGTCTTGTCGTTCTGAATGAGACATTTTCTCAACAATAGACCACAACCAGCGTTTAAATTTAGCTAATCTATCGGCAGGTTCTCCTGATTCGTCGTTGAAGGAAGTGTACGATATCAAAACGGAAACGTTAATATCACCGACCCCATTTAACAGAAGCCTTAAGTCTTCGGATGTTAAACCATCGAGCGCTCCTTCGGGTAGTACGTCAAACACTCCTTCTCTCATAGCATGCAAAGCTTTCTCTTGTACCTTAATCATACGAACTTCCGCGTATTTGCGTACATAATCGTAAACATTACTTGCTGTCACTTCTATATCACGTCCGTTAGGAATAAGTTCAATCGATCCACCTCCTTCTTCGGGACACAAATCAATACTAGAACAATCAAGAGTGTTATATACCATGGCTAAGACAAAATGCGAGAAATGTTAGAAACGACTCTTCGAAAATAAGCGATTGAAATATTTCAGGTACACGCTTACCTGAATGTAAGATCAAGAGCAGAGAATAGACTGTTACTATCCTTGGTTTCGGAATCAATAACGAGTTGCCTTAAGCTTTCATAAATTACAGAGTCAAAAAATGCAAGATCGTGGAAACGGATCGGTCTTCCCAAAATGTATTTTATTACATGACGATTCAAAAATATTGGGCACAACTCGTTTTGCAAAAGACACAATCCTATAAGTCTGATAACAAATTTTTCTTTTAATTTCACCAATTAATAGTTTACGATTATTTTTATTATATTATAATTTGATTAATTGTTATTTATATCATTACCAACCTGCCAACATTTCTGAATGCGTTCAACCGCTCGTAACTGGCTCTTCCCTGTCGTGGAGTGTAAAAACCTCTCTTTCCCGGGGAATAGAAAAGAGGAGCATTGTCTTCGGTATCATCCAAAATACTGTTCTCAATCTTTTTCTTATTAGCCCCACAACGTGCGATCAAGCTGAATACATCGAGATCCAACAACGCTTCCCTTGCTGACTCCTGACTATGACTACGGATTAATTCAAATGCTTCCTCTACTTTTTGCCGCAGAGCGTCTTCTGAAGCTAGTAACATCAACAGCTGTGCAGGGGACAACTCTAACAGCATACCAGTTATTTTAGCAGCTAATGCGGGTTGCAATGCATAAACCTGTACAAGGTAACAATAGTGTGTTATTGTGAAAAACTAAGTACTATCATTACTATTAATTACTTTTGGATATAGCCTGTCCCCGAGTTGTTGTTGATGCATGGTCAAGTGATCATTATTTGGGTGACTAACAGGTAACGGATGGGAATTGGAGGATGAACTACCAGCTCCAGAATTACCGCTTCCTTCAACAGAACTGGATGGATGAAAAACTCGAGCTTCAAAAGACAATGCTCTACGCGTCTCTCGACATTTTCCAGAAGATCGAGGATTCTGAAATAAGATATCTCTTGTAAAAAAAGAAGAACAGAAGAACATTGCCTTTCTTCTTTTTTATTTTTTATAATTATACTTACTTGTCGTCTTAAATCATGATCACGATCTCTACTTTTTAGCTTCCGAAGTACATTATATTGTGTATATTTTGATCCCACTTGTGCTGCTTCGAGATTAGGCAGTTTTTCATTTGCAAGCAATGCCTTTAAAAAAAGTGTACGCTATATTTTTAAGATAAGAAACAAAGATGATTCCTATTGTAATATTACAAACCTCGGCAATCGCGGTATAAAAGCTTCTAGTTACACCAGTCCCTTCACCAGGTTCATCCTTGAAAGTTACTTTAACACGATGCACGGCTAACGGCGGTGCATTAGTGGCACGCCTATTATATAAATTGTAATGTGTATTTAATTCCTTCATCGTTTGCACTAATAGTTGTGTTCTGTCCCGTTCGACCTTTAAAAAGTTTAATTTATATTATACTCAATATATTTCATTCGTTTAAATAATTAAAAATTATTGTACTTAATTACTTTTAACAGATTAATGTCTCTTTGCTGTGCATTCCGAAGTTTCTCCATATCTCTACGGAATTTCGCTTCTTTTACTTGGAAACCTCCTAATTCGGATACAACTGAACCAGCTTCTAATCCTACATCTTCCATGAAAACTCGTCCAAACAAATCAAGAGACAAGCTCCAACGACCCAATAAAATGTTATGTGATATATTAGATCCAATAGACGAGACTGGATTTGTTTCAATCGTTTCATGAGTCATGGTCGCATCTTGATTTGAACCAGATGTGTCCATCTCCTCCGTTACATTCTGTATTGCTTCATTTGCTGTAGACATCATTTCTGACGCACCAGCTTTATTTAAACTCGATTCCTTTAAAATTGAAACACAACATTATTGCACCTAATTTACCAGAAGAACTTTTCTTTTGTGCGTTCATGAATTTCTGTAATTTGTAACTCTCTCTTATCTTAACTTTATTAAAAGCAAATTCTATATATTTACCGAAACAGTTCCAGCTCTAACAATAACGCTTCTATTCGTTTTACAGATATCCTTATTAGTTTTGGTACTTCCCGATGCTTGATCGCTTTGATTATTAGTAGAAACGATGATTGGAGCTCGATCAATTTGCTCCGCAGCGAATGTGTGATTGAATGATTTTGCCTTTTCCTATAATATTAAAAGTAAATCTACATATTTTATCTTTCAACGAAAGGAACTGTGCCATAAAAGATTTAGTAGAAATGTAAGAATGACATCCTATTGTTGCAAAAATAATAACTTAAAAATACGATTACTTACAACAATAGGATAAAATTTAGACTAAATTTTTGCACGTTTTCCGTGCAAAAATTTTAACACAAAAATGCAAAAATTAAAAAATAAAATAAAAAAAATAAAAAATATAAATGCCGTGAGTGGATAAATTTAATTAGCTTTCCTATGTAAAGGGAACATTACCGTATGCTTTGTAGACGTCGAATCTCCGATCGTTACAGAGCTACGTCTTGCATCTGATGATGCAAAGGCAGATCTTTGAATAATTTGACTAAATGTCGGTGTGGGGATATTCTGATTATCAGCACCACGTGCAGACAGACTAAGTCTTGTGGGTAATCCCTCTAACGGATTTTGATTAGGACCTGCACTTGTTGCTGGTTGTCTTGGTATACCAAAGAGATCCTCTCGCTTTGAATGGGGTTGCAATAGATGTGGTTGATCAGCTAATGGTAAGGCCTCGCTCATGACAGTATCAAAGGGATCAAGGGGAGGGCAACCAAGACATAAGGTGGAGTCTGATCTTTGTAAAAAGGGATGCTTTCTTCCTTTTGGTGTACTGTTACTATTATTTCCTGATCCGCAACTAGGAACCTGAAGTAAATCAGGATAATCAACGGAATCTGTCTCCAACGCAGTGGGAACTGGAGAACTATATTCTTCTCCCTCGTCATTATCATTTTCATCCTGTAATGTGAAATATCATAATCTGTGTTAAATACACGTTGATTACAAGGAAAACACAATTCAATACAAACCTGATCATTCCAACTTGAATAATTTGACGATTCCTTTTGAGTCTCTCCTCGTGATGACATTGGTTCTGATAGTGGCGAACGCATATAATATACTAACGCATCGAAAACGTATGCTACATGTCTTAGTGCAGAAACATCTAATACTGGCAAGCTATCCCTGTGTTCGGCATTGTGAGCACGCATTAAGGACAGGCAATAAGACAAAAATTCACGTCTTGCCAAGTATACATCGCCACCTAAAAATAATACTTATTAGCCACTATTCTATTCCCAAAAATGTAATTGCAACGCATTTGAGTATTTCTTAAAGGGAAAATTTCGTTAGAATGATAAAGATAACAGATGATACCTTCGCGTTCTCTACTGTTTCTTGAAGGTTCGCCAACGCCTGCAAAACCAACGGTGAGTCTTGTAGAAGCTTGTGGAGTGGAGATATTGGAGCTCGTAGCGATACCACTGCGTTGATTCCGACCTGTATTGGATTGTAGCGTCAACGACAGAGCCGCTGTATTTAACAATCCAGAGAAATTGCCTCCAGGCAAAGATGAAGCATTGTTTAGTGGATGTTCTGGATGCGTAGGATCCGCACTACGTGTCAGAGACACACCAAATCTTAGTTGTGCCTCCGTGGCATCCATAACTGTGAGCAGCCAATCCCACGTGGGTTTCAAGTGCCCCTCGAGATACATCTGTAATCATCAAAATTATCATGTTGTTCTAAATTTATTCAATTTTAACCGTTTGAGTCCTAGGGGTCTTTGAAGAAACAGGGTCGAAAAATCCTGAACAGCGCGATAGCGCTTGTCTTAATCGATTGCGAAGAGAAATAAGCGGCGCAATAGCGCTCGTCATATTTGTTATTTTTATGAAATACATCTATATTATTATATATGCGTACTATTAGTTTATAAATATTTGAAGCTTTGTTCAATAAAAATTATAGAAAAGATAACAATGAAATACAAAATACCGTCAGTCATCCGTAACGTTCAAATGTACGGAGACTTTTCGATACAAAATTTAAATAGCGATCGCGCTGCTTGGGACTCAAACGCTTAATTATTAAACGTCATATTATAAAAAAGTTATACCTGCAGATTGAGCGCATCTTGATAAGTAATTTCCATTAATCGCGGCAAAGAAGGCGCTAATGTTTTATAATCTTGCATCATAACCAAAAGATCAGCTATCTGTCGAATAACAATTCCAAATGCACGTGCCAAACAAGTAGTACTAGTACCCATAATTATAGGTTCTTGTGCAGCTGCAACAGCAGATGTTGCAGTAGTGCGTCTTAAAGATGTAGAGTCAATAAAAACCAGGTTACTGCCACCTGTTACCCGTAATCCAGCTGTACGCATACTTGAGTCGCGATTACGTATCGCCCATTGCATAGAAACAGGCGCGAGATTATTACGATGTAAATGGCCAGATGAACCACTGTAATCAAGTATCAGTAACATAAGAATGATTTTTACAAATGCGCTTAGAAGAGAGATTAATGTTTTAATTGTAAGGGCATTGCTGCAAAATTCTTTTAATGTATCTGTGCAATGCATATATAATACAGTACCTATAGTTGATTCAGAAAATATAGCGAGGTTATATATACATTTGTAGTTTTCGACTCAATTGGTTTTTCGACCTTGCTATATTTCTTTAATGAGTACAAGACCATCGATGTTACTTGAGAGAAAGAAAGTAGTTTTACCTTCGGCGTTCCAATTGATCATCACCAATTTGAAAATCTTCGTTATCTTGTTCGTCAGTTTCTCCTGCTTCACTTTCATCATCTTCCTGCTGGCTTGATTCTCCAGATTCATCTTCCGGGAATAATAAGATAGATCCCATTCCACCATCAGAGCCTGCTGTAGCACCAGTTTGTACACTACGCTGCGCAGACGCTGCATCTTGATTGCTATGATTGTCATCGGAGTCCGACTCTGTTTCCGCTTCCGCCAAAAGATCGAGCTCTGTATCGGATTCGCCATCTCCTGCCTGTTCCTCACCTACACCTCCGCCATTGCTATCAATCTCACCTAATGGTTGACCAGGGACAGTTCCAGAAACCCCAGATTCTTCATGTTCGCTAATGTCGCCATCAACATCCATAGGAACTTCTATTCACACATAAAGATTATTATAGAATCAAAGTTAGAGAAAATTAAATATAATTTTATAATATTTTAAGCAGGATAACGGGGGCACAAAATTAACATAATCGATAAGATTTGATAATGGAAATACTACCAATTCAAAATAATTTTTTGGAGAAAATGGACACTTCTATCATTTCTAATAATTTTTTAGATGTAAAACTCCCGGTTACATTATTTTTATATTAATTTATACATTAATTCGCAAGACATACCTTCACCAGTTTCTGCCTCATCCATAGCAGAAACATCCCTGGCAATAGTAATATTATTATTTCCTTGTTGCGTTTGTAAAGTAGCATCCAGAGTTTGGGAACTAACACCACTATGAGGTATTAGTGGCTCGATAGAAAACAATTCTTCAGAGCCATTGATTACTTCCATTGCTGAGCTCGTCAATGTAAATGGTGCTGTTGGGCGAGCAACACCTAATCTCACGGGTGCTATCAGTGAATCAGCAGTTTCACATAATTCTTCAACAGCTAATTTAATCAATGCTTGGAACACTTTACGACATTTCATTAGAGGTTGCAATGCCTGGCTAGTACTGAAATATGTTTTAAAACATCTGAATAGATAAAAAAAATAAAAATCGCTTAGCTAAAGTAAAATATATCGTACTTTCTTCGTTTTGTCGTATTCGGTGCCATTTCTATTGTGAAGATCACAAATATTCGGGCCACAGATCGAACAAATCGACGAGCAACATTATTTGCTTCTTCTTGTCGTCCGGATATAGTATCATTTTGTAATTCTCGTATTAGAGTTGTCAGAAGAGTATCGAGCATCTGCGAAAAAATTATATTACATTATGAATATTTTCTAATATATTAGACATATAAGATAAAACTAATATTTTTTTACCTCTGCACTACACTTAAATAATAGCGAGTGAGTAAATTTATCGAGTAGAGCAGTACCGCTTTGACGACATAATTGGCCTTGATCTCCAAATAACTGTTCATTTCCATGTGCAGAAACTCCTGACATAATCATACATTGAACAGCTGGCCAATCATCCAATAATCTTTCCAATGCTTTTCGATTAAAGCGAGGAGGTTCTAAATCGTGATCTGGCATATCTGGTACATAAGTATCTAATCCTGTTAATGATTAACTTTTAACTTCTATTTTTTATATAAATTACTCTTTTTCTAAGTAAAAAATGTTACCATCTGAGGAAGGCCCTTTTCGACTTGCAGATGCTGAGCGTTGCCGCAGTGCAGAACGGTACTGCCGTTGTTCGATCAATTGTCTTCCAACAGTCTGAACCAAGAAGAGTAAAATACTTTCTCCCCTATAAAATTAAGAAAAATAATTTATTTTAATTTTATTAATCAATTTGTAGCATATTTATTTACCGTGAGTTTATCTTCGTGACAAGATCAGTATTCACTACGAGACGACAAAGGAGTTCGTAACGAGCACCTTGATGACCCGCAATGAGTGCTCGACATTTGCACTTTTCCCAGCAATCACAATAAGCTGTAGGGGATGTTATCTTTATTCTGCAATCATGTCCTCTGTGACAAACGCGAGCACATTCTGTACAGCAACACAAAGATCCAATCAAGCCACAAGTTTTGCATTCAAAAATATCTTGGTCGATGTGTTGAGTCCCAGTCCATGTGAAACTGCATGTATCATTGCAACATGTAACGAATAATGGCGATAAATCTGGATTAGCATCCGCAGGAAGTATCATAGCTGAACATTCTTTCTGATCTCTTCCAACCCTTTGAATAATGTCTAATAAAATGAGAGCTGCGTGATATGCCCGAACTGATACAGCAAGCATTAATGGTGTCTGACCTTGAATATCCCTGTTAAAACAAACATTCAAATATTTTTTTTCCAACTATAAAAATATTTTACTCATTACTAATTGAGATAATCACTTTGCCGTAAGTAGTTCTTTCAGGTGAGGTGCTAACACGCTACTTTCACACATATACTTTAATATAAGTAATGCATTATTTCTTCTTTCCACAGAGTCTATGATGTAGGTGTTATTTGATGTTGCTCCGACACCTGAAAGCAGCAAGATATTTATTTAGCAATGTGTAACAGAAGTTAAAAATTACAAAAAAAAGAAGGAATAAAAAGGCGTTTGATACACTTTTACCTGATTTGTTCATCATTGATATGCTAGCAGTACCAATGCTAAGCAAACTGTCTTCTTCTCCTGACGTATTATCAAAAGCTTCTGGTGGCCAAGTTAAAGTTGGTATTGGTTCCTCAATAGGTGCAGATGGACCATCAACAGTGTTTGAAACTAACTCACGTTCAATACCTTCCAAATAAAATAATAAATTAAAATAAACAATTTACAATTTCTCATATATTTATATCAAAGAACAAATTTAATACCTTGATCATTTTCTTTATTCGAGGTTGGTGAGCACATACTAATGCAAGCATGCAAAATATTGCGATTACCATCGCAACGTTCCATTAATATTGATTGAATCTGTGCTGCATTGTTTTTGTGATCTTGTTCCAAATTGCAAAATACTTGCTTAATACTCTCATAATCGCACCTTAATATTCGTGGCATTAATAAGAGATTATCAAATACTAATGCAATAACTGCAACTTGATTTTTCATATTGGTTGAATTTGAACAAGTCGGTATGGGAATAGTTGAAGCACCAATGCACAGAACTGGAACTAAATCCAACCAATTTGGATCACGGATAGCATCGGCGCAATCCTTTGCTAATGGATAGATAGTATTATTTCCATCTCTAAGTATCATGGAACACTCTATGTTCTCTCCTGAACTTGTCAGGCTGATATTTTGAGGCTGCAGACCCAAGAATGATGATACATCCGATGGAATATAACAATCTTGTACATATCTTCCAGTACTTAAATTATACACGACGTAACTTAATTTGTTTGCACTTTTTACTATTGCATGGATTCCTTGTCCGTCAGTAGCAATGCTCAAAATGCTATCATTTGATCCTTCAACAATATTCACTCTTCTGGGAGTTCGTTGGAAACAGTCTGGAGCTCTTGGATTCATGGATGATTTTATTACCTGTATTTCATCTTTCCTTAATAATCTACAATCAGCTAGCAATTTAATTAACTCTTCAGTTGTTAAATCTTTAAAATCTGAAGTACTGAAATCTTTTTCTTTAATTTCCTTTTCCTTTGCATCTTTCGAGAAGAATTTTACAGCGACATAACAACCGTCAACTTTTATAACTTTACCAATGGGAACTGTTTTTACATCTTCTACAAAAACAACATCCTTTAATTGCCATTCTTCTTCATCTTTTCGCTCTGACTCTCCCTCACTTCGAGGTGCAGCTCGCTTCTGTCTCTTATGACTTGTCGTGATACTGCCAGTATCACTACATGTGCTCGAAGCTGGTGAGGGTGGAGGAGGCATATCAAGGCGATCAGTAGTTTCTTTGTGATTTGTCTTATTAATATTACCCGTTCCATTGTTTCCATTCGTTTCTCGTTTTTCTGTATTAACATTTGGCAAATGAGTTCCAGCTGGTAATATCTTAAATCTGTAAGTGCTATCTAAATTCCATGCTGCTCCTAATAACTGTCCTACTTTTGGAACTCCATTGGCAATGGTAAAACCTTGAAAATATATCATTTTAGAATATTATAGAATATTATTTTTTAAGCAAATCATAAATACAATTTATTATTTAATAAATTACCTATTGCTCCAGGATGATATATGGGACTATTTTTCATACAAACATGTGCGCCATAACTAATATCGTTTGATGAAACTGTGGATGATCTATGTTTGCGCGATTTAGCCTTATATTTTTCCCATAATTTTTTGCGTTGTGCAAAAGGTAATACACCCCTGTGTAAATGAAAATATAACAATCGACATCAGTTTTTTGTATTTGAAATAAAAATAGTTAAAAAAATTGTAATATTTCAACTTACCACCAATACAATGCACCACTTTCAAGTTTAGCAACCGTATATAAAGCACAGGTATGAAGGGATACTATTTTGTCCAATGTGAATTCTGTAAAAGTTTGAGCTGGATGTTCGAGACGAGAAGCGACATGACCTACAAGTTCATCAAGCCAAGTAGCTACTTTGCCAGATTCAGTACTAATAGAACATCGAATAGCTGTTGCGGATATATTAACTATCTTTTCTGTGGTTACTGCCAACCATGGAGCTTTCGGATGATGTATATTTGGATTCTACAATGAGCATTATTTTAATTTTTTCTTTGTTTTCAATTTATAATATTGCTCACATAAAATACTGAAACAAAATTTATTTTAAATACCTCTGCATGTTTGTATGGTTCAGATTCCGACCATTTCCACTGATACAATTGTCCCCCAGCAGAAACAGCAATTAATTCACTATACAGCGAGGCGATTTGTACAAAACGAGGGGCAAGATCACTACTACGTTCATGCCACCACTCTAATTCTTCTGATATCCATAATGGACTTTGAGCAGCTAACTCCTTTTTTTTATTATCTAAGAAATTTTTCAAATATATAATCAAAATATCCGTGGTTACAATTCGTAGATATTAAAAAATAATTTTCTAAAATTTTAATTGTACCAGAATCTTTATCCCAAGAATCTTTAAGTGCAGATTCCAGCCAACGTCTTGGACCACAATATTGGCGATCCCTCCATTTACTGAAATTGTCTCGATCTCTATCCCGCTCAGAAGTACGTTCACCTTCTCTGTCATTACCTATTCTGCGTGAAGAACTACCCCGGCTAAAAAATGTAAACATTAAAAATATACATCTCTTACAAACAATTTCAAAAGCAATTCGGACTAATTACTTTCTCATTCCTGTATATCCAAACATGTCTTCAGGAAACATAGAATCTGCATCAATGATAACAGAATGCTCATTGCTGAATCCACCATCTAGTAATGAAATGAGATCTTCCGGAACGTAGGTATCTGCTGCATCTTCAGCATCATCACCTTCCTCATCATCCCGTGACAGTAAATTATTTACTGCTAAGTTTACATCTAAATTTGTACGCTACAAAATATATTTCAATATTAAACTAGCAAAATCTTAATGATACAAGGATCGGTACACTAATTTCTTCAATCGGACAAACCTGTAATTCTCTAATAATAAGATTGCGACTTTTTCCCTGTAATACCACTTGAGCCTGTGTAATAAGATCTTCTGGTACAAATGGAGCTGGTACAGATGCAATAGGACGCGAACTGCTACCACTTCCTCCACCCATAATTACACCTGGAGGACCTATCCTGCCTCCACTGCTACTTCCTCCATTACTACCACCTCCACGAATGGCAGAACTGCCACGCATGATTCGTGCACGTGACCTGGACATTCCTGCTCTACTTCCACTTCCACTACTAGTACCACCATTTGGTGCTGAATTGGAGTTATCAACATGGTTTTTGTTTGTGCTAGGATAATAGAAGAATATGTATGTTATTTCATTTGTGGAATAACACAGTGAATATGTTGTTCACAACTAATCACAACAACATTGTCAATAAACTTCATTTCTTTTTATAACTTACTTTCGATTTGGTTCATTTTTGCTTAAATCCAATCTATCTGATAATACTGTAAATGCAACTCTACAAATTTTATGGTCTTCTGTGAGAAGAGCAATGTGTGTTGGGCCAACCACAATATGTTTTACTGCAACCTTCAATCCACTAAATGCTGGTAATGTTACAAATCCATATCTGTTAATTTTTTCTGCCACTTCCTTCAATCTAAAAAAACATGTAAAAGAAAAATTAACTACTCCAGTAACATATATGCTCACTTTAACTAAGGTTTATTTATTATATATAAATAAATTATATATATTCACATTACTAGAACATACGAATACATGTATCATAGTATTTTATGATAAATATTGAAAAAATCCTTTTTCAATCATCCTTTTTAGCAACAAAAAATATACCAATTTTTGGATAACAATATAGAGCCCTATTGTTGTATACATAATAAATACTATGTATAAATTTGTATTATATATGAAAATATTAGAATGTATGGATGGAACAATAAATTATTCTTCTTCTACTTCACACAAAATTAAATTATATAAACCCATATTAAAATATTAAATACACAAAATATAAAATAAGAAAATGATGATACAACATTACATAAAAATTTACAAATATTTATTGAATGAAATAGGAAGGTCATTATCTATGGATATATTTGATCATAAATAATTATATTTACAAAAACTACATTTTGTCCTTGTAACCTACAAATGTGTCCAATAATAGAAACAAATGGAACAAAACATTTATTACCATTTATGTATGCCACATATATAAAATATATTACATGTGATTATATATATAATTTTATATAATGTAATATATAATGTGATAATATATAACATGTATATGTTTATATATAATGTGTATGTGTTTATTGTATATATATAATATATATAATAAATAATATAAACACACGCGCGCGCGTACGTACACGCACACGCGCGCGCGCGCGCACACACACACACACATACACACACAGAGGGTAATATATGTATAATATATATAATATACATCTATACAGTAAAGAGAATAATTTTTAAACTAATATATTCGACATTTTATTCTAGATATGTGCATGCTTATTATTTAATACAAACATAACGATGTGACACAAACTTTTAACTTTCAAACGATACATCATCTAACATGCCATTGAATTATACGATACAATGGGCGAGGACCGTTTTAAAATTCAGAAAGAACGAAAAAGCATATAGAACACTATGCTAATTGATATGAGCAAGCATATTTTAGGGTCGAATAATGAACGACGATGATTTCAATACGGAGGAGAGACAGACATGCCAAAAAGATATATTATAATAGGAAACCGATAACGGATACATTTTTCCTTACCTATCGTTTAACTGATCATCTGTTCCAGGTAAGGGATGTACAACAAAGTGTATCGACGTCATTTTATCAATGCGTAAACGTATTTCAATATCACGGATATCGTTTTAATAATTCTGTACACACAATTTCACCACACCGTCGAAATGATGTTCAGCCATGTTTCTGAAGAAACAACGAGTTACGTGTTCTTGAAAGTGAACGAACCGAACTTAAGTTCTCCACGTATTCGTAAATGCATTAAAAAATCACGCTCACACGGATTCGATGGCAATCGTTGAGTGAACAAAAATCACGTGTAAAACGAAATATTCGAAGAATGCGTAAGCGTCTTTAACGAAATGCAACCGATCGTCCAGATGCTTCTATTACGTTACTGTATTGGTGTTACAGAAGGAGAATATGTATCATGGCGACCCTCGATTAATGGCGGACTCGACTATTTCACGATCGTTATTTAGATTATACAATGATATCACATTGGAAGATCTTTGAAGATATTTTTAATTCACTATTCATTTAATTAATCGATATAATATAGAAATATTTTTTTCAGCTTCACAATTATCATCATTTAGATGTTATATCATGTTTGTATGTACTAACAATAGTTTCATTACACCACTTTTTCTATAACGTTCAATTGCATACAATGGTTAATACAAGTTATATAATCGTAGTACAATAAATACACTATACTATATATTTACAATAAAATCACGCACGATTTACAATGATTTTAAGGAAATTCTTTTATAGCAAATGTAGTTGAGATGAAAGAACGGATACTGACATGTAATCAAATTTTAACTTCCTATGAGACGAGCGTAAAACTAGCCAATCAGAGAAGAGTTTCACTACACTCCAAAGGAATTAATATTTGATTAAATTGTATATAAAAAAAATTTTTATTTTTAAATAGTTCCATTGATATCAGATTTAATTAGATTTAATAGCGAATTTTCAAAAAAATTAAATTGTGTATTCTGGAATGAAAGGAATTAATTATGAATAAAAATGTCAGTGCATTTTTAATTGAACATTACAAAATTTTTTAAATATCTTTCAATTGTTTACGAAGTTATATAGAAGAAGAAAGAGGAAGGAAGAAGATTAAGTTACAGTCTACATTCCTGTTTCTCAAAACATCTGTTTTTCTTTAATTTTTACATATTGAATTCATTTATACAATACATTATCGTTTATAATCTTACTGAAATTTAAAAGCAAGTGTTTTCATTTTGTATATTACAGATTTAAAAAATAATGAGTGATTGTATTAATAAACTATGCACTGTAGCCTATTATTATAGACACGAAAAATATGTACAATCTCTGTTTAATTGTAAAATGTTTACACATTCCCTCATTTTTATTATATAATTTGTGTGAGACAAATATTTGGCATTCAATATATATATCTTGTTAGGCTCTATTTTTTAACATTTTAATACCAATATTTAAATATGTACAGAAACAAGTTCGTAAAATTTGTGTATACTTCATGCATTTTAGCCCAGATGATGTAACATATGGATTATAAAACATGATAGCACAATAATTTATATTTGTAATTAATTAATTGTTCTGGCGTATAAAGATAATTATAATCCTAAGTATAAACAATCAAATTTTTATAATCTGCATTTTAGTAATGCAAATAACATTTGATTGTTCTATGCAAACACATAAATCAAAAATTTATATATGGAAGATTTTACAAAGATCCTGTAGCTTCAAGCTACATAGAATTGAACGTCTAATTTAAGTCACAGAGATTAACATCTATCATCTATGAATTAATATAAAGGTCGCGAATCTCGATAAGAATCTTCTCTTTCAATACCAGTTGCATTGAAAACCATAAAAAAACATGTCAGTTCTCACTTATTCTTCAGTCACAGTAGTATACACATTAATTTTTTCTTAAAGCTTTAACTAAATTCATACCTAAACTATACACTATACAAATTGTTCAGTGCTAGTAGCACTAAGATCAAGTAAACGCCATGCAGCTTTTGGATTAAGTTCGGTAGGATCACGACATAATACCCATATGTAATTGACACGCATTACTTTCTCAGGATCTCCTTCAATAACATTTTTCTTGCCATCTCTCACACACATGATTTGTTGGCATTGGAAACTGATTATTAAAACTGGTCCTTGTTCCATTACTTTACCCATTATTAAATCTATGTTGTTGATATCTGAAATTGAAATATTTAGCTTTATCTGGAATAACCGCATAAAACTAAACATTTTATATGAGATGTAAAAATTACCTAAAATTTTATTGTCTAATTTATATCCCAGTTTTTCTACTTGTAACAGTGGTTGTGCTATTACTTTGTACGGAGCTTCGTGACACCAGTCTTTTAAAATTTCAAGATCCCCCCTTACCATAGCTTCCAGAATATTTGGAATAATGTCTGTTTCACAATATTTTAAAAATTGTATTCTATCGAAGCTGGGATCTAGTTTACAAATTTCTGTTAGTGTTGCAGATAAATCTGTCTTTTGAAACAATCCACCGACTATATCCGTAACCTTTTCCGTTAGTAGCCTAGAGGCACGAATGACAGGATTATCGGATTCTTCGTATTTGATCTTCCATTCTAATATTTTATTCACATATGGATTTTTATCCTTGGAAAAATATAATTATTACAAACATCTGCAGTGCTGCAAATATGTAATATAATTCGATTATCTTAATTATGTACCTTAAAGTTTTGCCATGATTGATAAAATTTAGAATCTTTATGCAATTCAACATCCATAGCCTGTTCATTTGGTTGGACAACTTTGCTATCTACTGATTCTACCACATCTTTTCTTTTCCTCAATACCTTGGGAGCAACATACACTTTTCCTGCAATTTTGATTTAAAAAACATATTATTATAAAGCCTCGTATTTATTTGCAAAAATTGCCTTACCATGCATTCCTTGATGATCTAATTCCTCGCGTACAGCTTCTGCAGTTTGTGATATTGTTTGAAATGCACTTGTTTTACCTAAAGCCTGGCTTTTTTCAGATATTGTTTCTGCTGCTCCTTTTGCAGACTTTGTTATTTCCTCGCTCAGTTGACCAGCTTTCTTGCCTAATTCTGTTTTACTTGCTTCTTCAAGAACTTCTTGTACCTATGTGACATTATTCAATTAACTTCCATAACACATATTCTCAACTAACAAATACTAACAAATATTTTCCAATCGTACCTTTCCTTTTAAGGATTCTAACTTTTCTTTAAGAGCTTCAGATCCTTTGGCAGCTTCAGATTCAACTGCTTGAAATTTCTGTCTGGCAGAACGCAATGCTTCTGACTGTTCTAGTTTTTCTGCTTCTTCCCTGAACTTTTTCAAAGACTCCTTCATCTCTTTATTCTTTTGCAATTCATGTTTGATATTTTCAAGAAATTGAGAAAAGAAACTGGGTCTCCTCGCTGGATTCGAATAGAATCTGACCTAAAAAAAAACACATGGTAATTAATCAGACCTATATACCTTTTTGAAGATATTTTAAAGGGAAACTCACTGATAATCCTTGAATATTTGTGATTTGTGGTAATTGAGACCGTAGTACAACATTGTAAATATGTATTGTTGAACCATCTCTGGGAAGTTTCTTCTTAGATCGGGCAGATCTTGTGATACCAATAAGGCTAGCTTTAGACACAGAAAAATTCTGAAACTATACGAAAAAGATATACATGCATTTCAAGTTCATAGAAAATGAATCTCCTTTCACATAGATAATAATTTACATGGTACAATTTAAAATGATTCTTTTTAATATAATTCTTTTTATATCAAAATATAATATTATTTACTATTTTTTTGTGAGGGAGATATATAGGAATAGGAATTAAGGATTGATAAATTTTTATTATATACAATAGATAATTATTACCATGTTATGCAAGTTTATTTCTTTCGCGTGTAATTATTTATATCATTATTATTTCGTTAAGAAATTCTGTAGAGGCAGAATATAATATCTCAATTTTAAAAAACTAAACTTTATGATGCAACGGGACCGAAAGTATGAAAGTTATTCAAAAGAACATAACCTAGTTGTGAGAAAAAAATGTGACCGGCTTGCGAATTAAACATTCATGACCTCGGATTAATATAGGAAAAGAAGGACAAGCACGCTTATTTCGTGCCTTCACGTGATTAGAAGATTATGATTCAGTTAGCAATTAGGATTATTTACCATTTTACGAACGATTTATCTGCAACATCGAATATCTTCATAAAATATATTGCGGATAGTGAGAAGGACATCTATCGACAAAAATTAGGACAAATCATGAATATATAATAATTGTATATGTGCCAATGTGATAATTTTACTCAAAAGTATCATATTATCAAATATATAATTAGTAAAAGTTTTCTTATAAATAAAAAGTATACATATTTTTATTCAATTATTTTTACACATTTGTATAATCTTAAATATTTATATTATTGTAATATATATATATATTACAATAAATGGTATCTACAATAATAAAACTATAAATACAGCAAATTATTATATGATTATAATATAATGATCAATCTCCCCTTAATCCTGGTATTCTATATAAAAATTCTCCATCATAATCATAATAACAATCCTTTATCCTATATGTCTTGCCTTTTTTGTAAACACTTTGAGGAATTTTTATACGTTTTGTATATTCCAAATCCATATCCATATAAGAGATTCGCTCTTTTACATATGTATCCAAGCTTGCACTTTTGATTTCTGCTTTGGTTGCTACTTTGGATTCAGTTGCATTTGTTCTAACATCCAGCATATTTTCATCAGATAAATTCTTTGGAGTGCTAACACATTTTTCTTCAATATTAGTATCTTTTGTAGTATTATTTAATATGTTAGGACTTACATCTTCTGAATTCTTAGATTCTATATACTTTTTATAAGTATCCAACAATGTTGTCCTTTCTTTATATGATGTCTCATCTGAATTATGTAATTTGTGTTTCAAGAATTCTTCAAAGAGTAATGTTTCCTGTTTTATATCATGCTTTTTTGCATTGTGGATTTTGCTACTTTCAGAGCCATTGCTTGTTTTTGTGACTAATGTTAAATTTTCCTCATTTACTATAGATTTTTTTCTATCTCTATTTGTATTGTTATGTGAGGAAATTATCAGTTCATTTTTCATGATCGCTTTTTCGTTATGCATTTCTCTATGTATAAGACTATTGCTTGTTTTCTTGACTAATCTAGAATCTTTCTCTTTCATTGCATTGGTTATCTTTCTATCTTTGTTTGGAGGATTTTGTGAAGAAATTAATACTTTATCTTCTGCAATTGGTTTCTCCTTAATAGAATCTGCTATAATACTACCAAAAAATGAACTTCTGGGTTTTGGAAATTCTATCTTTGCTGGTATATATTTTTCTGCCAAAGTTTTCCTGTCTGTTAAACTAATTTTTCTATCTTTAAATTTCATTAAATGCTCTTTTAAGTTAGCATTCACTGGTAATTGCCCAGTTTTAAATTGTTTCCAATTTTTAATAACCTTATTGTCGTATGCAAGAATCCTTTCTACTGATTTTGGTTCCCATCTTGATTTCAAGATCTTTTTTATGGTTTCAGGTAAAGCTGGAAAACTTTCACTGAGTCTTTCAGGTGTCCACTCATCAGGATTTTCTTCATGCAGCTTCTGTATTTGATCTTTTTCAACGTATGTAAGAAAATTTGGTTCTACCTCCTTAAAATATTTGCTTTTAATGATACGATGTTTCAGTAGTTTACAATCCTTTTCAGTTTGCCTAAAAATTACAATATATTGAAAATATAATTGATATATATATAACTCGATATTTATTTATATATACCTGTTATGATCTGTATAAGACTCAATAATGTCAGCAAGATCGGTTTCGTATTGTTCCACATCATTTTCATCAAAGTCTTCAAGATTATCTTTAAATTCTCTATTATTTTCGATTTTCATTAGACGTACTTTTCCTCGTACTCCAGCAATTTCAGGTTTAGGTTTAGTGGCATATCTTCTCAACAGCTTAAATGTTATTGCTCTAATGTTATTCATCTTTAAACTCGTTCATTTCTTTTACTATATTATATAAAAAAAATTATCGATATGATACTTGCATACACATAATTCTGTTTATAACCAATATTAACTTAAGTTATATATCATATAAGTACTTTATGTCTAAATATTAACTGAAAGAATATATGTGAACCGCGCTAACTGCAGTGGCGCTAACTATAAGTCTTAAGCGTATTTTAAACATTTCTATGTGCATGATTTAAAATTATGATAAACAGCAATACTTCTTACCATTTTATTTTATTAATTTTTAATAGTTAATAAATTAAAATTAAATTAGACAACTTTTTTAGTTTAGTTTATTTTTTTATCTTTTATGGTTTACTAAAAAAGAAATTTTCTCCCCGATTTTACTTTCAAGTCTTAAGAGCAGTTCACAAGGAAACATTGAACTTTTTTGTTATTAAATGTATTGAAGCTAGATTTAAAAGATTATATTCTCAATGATATATTTATTAATCTCATTTATTGTTTGTAAGATATTATTATAAATATGGTTCTTGAAATATAATCATATTGTGGAATAATTCTAATTCTATTGGAAAACTATAGGTAGCGTTGTAATTCTTTATGAATTATGTTAGTTTCCATTCTACCTATGTTATTGAGTGTGGTCAAAGTAAATCTGAAATGGGACAAAGTTGGTTGCTTGGTATGGTTGTTGATTTATGAAGAACAGAATTATCTACTAGCATCGTATTTAAAGTTGAAAAATATTTTCAGCTGCAAGGTGAAATAATTTTCGTAACCTTATTCTATATTTAAGAATTACTATATTTTTTTATTTTGTATTTAATTTAACGTTTAAAAGATCATTTACGTACATGCTACGAAGCTTTTTTATTTCCATTCTTAAATTTTAACTCTACACGTGCAGCAGATGACTTTAATTAATATTTTTTAACATTTTTGTTGATCTAATTAATAAATTTATATTTATTCGATAAGTATCTAAATGCTTGTTGTTCAGTAAGATCGAAGTTCGCGTTATAAGTTAACGTGAACGGACGCTTCCATTTTTTACTCCTTTTTACTGTCTTATGTGAAATTATTCTTGTATTCCTATGTTATAATAGTTTTCTATTTTTAAATGCATTAGATAATGCTTTTCGTTCTTTTATAAAAAAATATTAATTTGCAACAATTTAATTTTATCTATAATATTCATTACAGCATGGATGTAGGTTTTTTATTTCAATGAAAAGTGTCACATTTTCCTACTTAGTGGTTGATTGAATAATAAGAAAAAGTCACAAAGATGTATTTGTACAACTTGACTCTTCAACGAGCCACGGGTATCACCCATGCAGTGCATGGCAATTTTTCTGGTAGTAAAATGCAAGAAATTCTGGTTTCACGTGGGAAGTCATTGGAACTACTAAGACCTGATCCAAACACAGGAAAAGTTCATACTCTTTTGACTGTAGAAGTCTTTGGAATCATAAGATCTTTAATGGCCTTCAGATTAACTGGTGGTACAAAAGACTATATTGTTGTTGGATCAGATTCTGGGCGCATTGTAATTTTAGAATATATTCCTGCCAAAAATGTTTTTGAGAAAGTACATCAGGAAACATTTGGGAAAAGTGGATGTAGACGCATTGTACCTGGACAATATTTAGCTATAGATCCCAAAGGAAGAGCTGTAATGATAGGTAATGCATATATTGTTAAATAATTCTATAAATTGTGCAGATGTAATTAGATATTTTTTTGTACCAACTGATTATTTAGTTATGTCCGTGTTTCAACTGATTAACTTTGATTATAATCACACTTAATGATGGTACATTCTAGTCATGAAAATGTTCTTAGTGATATAATTCATCCATAATTCAAAAGAAAATGTATTTATTTTAGGTGCAATTGAGAAACAAAAGCTTGTTTATATTTTAAATAGAGATCCAGAAGCTCGTCTTACAATTTCTTCACCTTTGGAGGCACATAAGAGTAACACATTAGTTTATCATACTGTGGGAGTAGATGTGGGTTTTGAAAATCCTATGTTTGCTTGTTTAGAAATTGATTATGAGGTAATACTCCAACATATGCGAAAAATATACAGTATTCCATAATATTGACAATTTTGTTTATGTTACCCAGGAAGCTGATAATGACCCTACAGGAGATGCAGCGGTAAAGACGCAACAAACATTGACTTTGTATGAACTTGATTTGGGTTTAAATCATGTTGTACGCAAATATAGTGAACCTTTAGAAGAACACGCAAATTTTCTTGTGTCTGTTCCTGGAGGGAATGACGGGCCGAGTGGTGTTCTTATTTGCTCTGAGAATTATTTAACATACAAAAATTTAGGAGATCAACACGATATTCGTTGTCCGATTCCGAGAAGACGTAATGACTTAGATGATCCCGAAAGAGGCATGATATTTGTATGTTCTGCTACTCACAAGACAAAGAGCATGTTCTTCTTTTTGGCTCAAACCGAGCAAGGGGATATTTTTAAAATTACACTCGAGACAGACGAAGATATGGTGACTGAAATTAAATTAAAATACTTTGACACTGTACCTGTTGCAGCAAGCATGTGCGTTTTGAAAACTGGTTTCTTATTTGTAGCCTCGGAGTTTGGTAACCAGTAAGTGTATTACATATATTTAAAGAATTATATTTTTGAATTGAATTACATTTTAAACAATTTTTTTTTAGTTACCTTTACCAAATTGCACATTTAGGAGATGATGACGACGAACCAGAGTTTAGCTCTGCCATGCCTCTTGAAGAAGGTGATACGTTCTTTTTTGCACCAAGACCACTTAGAAATTTAGTACTAGTCGATGAAATGGATAGCTTATCGCCGATAATGGCATGTCAGGTAATTTTTTATCAGTACTATTAATATACTTAAAACTAAAATTTAATGCACCTTTAAAGTAGAAAAGTTATACTTGATGTGTTCTTTTTCTGTAGAGGGGTGCAATAGTAAAATATTCTTAGTCGCCTTCAATTTGTCTTTGCAAATTGAAGTTGAACCTAAGAATTACAAATGTAAAAAGATGTAAGTACAGTAATTCCAGGATACTTGGTTATTGCTTATCTGGAATTTACTGTATATCTTTTTGATAAATTCTCATTCATAAAATGATTTGTTATTTTATATAGGTAGCTGATTTAGCAAATGAGGATACTCCTGAATTATATATAACTTGTGGTAGAGGACCACGATCAACGTTACGCGTATTACGGCACGGTTTGGAAGTATCCGAAATGGCTGTCAGTGAACTGCCTGGTAATCCAAATGCTGTGTGGACTGTTAAAAGAAGAGTCGATGGTTAGTTTAAAAATATCTTTGACAGTAGTTGTTTGCATGTCCTTCTCTCTTTTTTTCTTTCCTTCTCCACTATATGCTTAAGCGACAGTGCAGAATAAATTTTACCAGCTTTGTTTTGTTTTCTGCATCGATGATACACACCTTTTTATCAATTGTGATTATATTATTTACACATTAATTAGTTTGATCATCCTACTATACTATATAGCAATTTCTTGCAATAGTTTTTATTTAAATTCAATTACAATAAGTTGGAATATTACTTAAATAAGAAATGAATATCTTTAAATATATAAGAATATTAATTTTCTGGATATTTTTTATAATTAAGAGATATTCGTAATAATTAAAAAAATAAATGATGTTAAAAAATTGTGGAGATATCTAGAATAAGACTTCGTTCGTAATTATTTTTATTATATGTAAAACAATTTCTTTTGAATGACTAAAAAAAAATGGGAAAGTAATAATTATTTGTATAAATCCCATTAAATCATTTACTTCCAAAAGAAGAGAAATTATTTTATTACTTATTCTAGTTTAACTCTACAATTTTTCAATACAAAAACAAAATGCAAAAGAGAACAAAAAAGTTGATTTTGTAAATGATACTAATGAATCTGGTGGCTTGATATACTCTTATCAAACACCAGTTCTCTCTTTCAGGCTACTGGCATGCTATTGGTTGAACTACAGAACACAGAAAGTGACAGAAAGGTAAGGACTGTGAAAATCGCTGGAGATTAAAGAAATTGAATTTGCATCCAAAAAACCGTCTACTCTTTGCGTGTAGGATGAAAAAAAAAACAGCGTGTTCGACCGTCTACGAAGAAACGATTTCTATTATTTTATCGAATTTCGTTCTTACACCTTTACTTTTCTGAGATACTCAGAGTGAGCTTTGTAATTTTGATTACAGAGGAGTATGATGCTTACATCATAGTGTCCTTCGTCAATGCTACTCTTGTACTTAGTATTGGAGAAACTGTAGAAGAAGTGACTGATTCTGGATTTCTTGGTACTACGCCAACACTGAGTTGCTCTGCTTTGGGAGAAGATGCCCTAGTACAAGTACGTTGTTTTATTATGCAATTTGTTTTTAATGCACTACGGTATCTCCGACTCCTGGTCGACCACGAGTCGGTCGCAATAAATAGTGCTATATTATACAGAGTTTTCGCATCGTTGAGTGCTTAGATAATTGTTCTAAACATGTCTGGTAAATGAAACTCGACATAATTACCATTATTAAAACATTTGTTTCTCTAATTACCATTTTTCGTATTTTACGATGGCTTTGTCATATTTTGCTTAGGTATATCCTGATGGGATACGTCATATTCGGGCAGACAAACGTGTGAACGAATGGAAAGCTCCTGGTAAAAAAACTATAGTGAAATGTGCAGTAAATCAACGTCAGGTTGTAATTGCACTCACGGGAGGAGAATTGGTATACTTCGAAATGGACCCTGTATGTATACTAGCTTTCCATTTATATCTGCTAAAATTGTATTATTATCTTTTAATCGCATCATTTGTTCTCTCTATGGTACTAATTATCTTTAGAGATGTAAAAGATGCGTAAAATATGTCACTTTGCTCATCTTATTTAGTGAAATATTAATTATTTAAACTAGATGAAAAGTGGACAACTTTGAAATCCAGTGTATCACGAATCCTTCTCAATCCAAATTCCACTTATATTTAATAATTTTCGTCATTTTGTACTTCCTAGACGGGGCAATTGAATGAATATACAGAACGAAAAAAGATGCCATCGGAAGTAATGTGTATGGCGCTCGGAAACGTAGCTGTTGGTGAACAAAGGTCATGGTTCTTGGCTGTCGGTCTTCAAGATAATACAGTAAGGATTATTTCCCTGGACCCTTCTGATTGTTTAGCACCGAGAAGTATGCAAGCTTTACCGGCGGCCGCGGAAAGTTTATGTATCGTTGAAATGGGTGCTAAAGATGCAAATAATTCTGAAGATTTATCACCACAACAGTCCAGTCTCTATTTAAATATAGGTAAACAACAGCAATATTATAGCTGCAAAATTGTTTTTTACTTTATTATAATTAGTTAAATATATACTCGCAGGTTTACAAAATGGTGTTTTGCTAAGAACAGTATTAGATCCCATTTCGGGTGATCTCGCAGATACACGAACTCGATATTTGGGTTCTCGACCTGTTAAACTGTTTAGGATAAAAATGCAGGGAAATCAAGCTGTGCTTGCAATGAGTAGCAGATCATGGTTGAGTTACTATTATCAAAATCGTTTTCATTTAACGCCACTGTCATACGAAAGTTTAGAATTTGCATCAGGCTTCAGTTCTGAACAGTGTCCAGAAGGAATTGTGGCCATTTCGACGAATACGCTTAGAATCCTTGCTCTCGAAAAGTTAGGTGCGGTGTTCAACCAAATTAGCTTTCCTTTGGAATATACCCCGAGAAAATTCGCAATTCACACGGACTCTGCACATCTGATAATTATTGAAACGGAACACAATGCGTATACTGAAGAGACGAAACAGCAGAGAAGGTTACAAATGGCAGAAGAAATGCAAGAAGCTGCAGGAGCAGAAGAGGCTGTGGTAGCGAGAGAATTGGCTGAAGCTTTCTTATCCGAGGAACCCAACGAAGCCGTGTTTGGTGCACCAAGAGCTGGACCTGGTTTATGGGCGTCGTTAATAAGAATAATAGCTCCCACAACAGGGCAAACGTTTGAAGTACATCGACTCGAACAAAATTTAGCTGCTTTATGGTAAGAATATAGAAAATATCAATATCTTAAACAAACATTTGGGAATAAGGAAAATTACTACATTTTTTTTTTAACGAATTATGTTATAGTTTGAGCCTTGTGAAATTTTCTAATCAGGGAGATCAACTGTTTCTCATAGTTGGTATCGCGAAAGAGTTCCAATTGAATCCAAGAGTTAGCAGTGGTGGCTTTTTATATACATACAGGTAAGTACTTGCTCTAATACGTTTAATAAGATAAAAGATGTATTAAACAATTTTTGTGATGAAAATACACACAATTACTGTAATGTAATTTGATGAAATTCCTGCAGTACTGAAATTTAAATTCCACATGAAGTATGTAGTTAAAAAAAGAACGAGTACAAAAGTAAATATTCTTTTGTAGAGTGAATAGTGAATGTACCAATCTCGAATTGGTGCATAAAACCACTTTGGATGAAGTACCTTTGGCCATATGTCCGTACCAAGGAAGGGTATTAGTTGGTGTCGGTAGAATGTTGCGTTTGTATGATATGGGCAAGAAGAAATTGTTGAGAAAATGTGAAAACAAACATATTCCTAATGCTGTTGTCTCTATCAATGCAATTGGGCAAAGAATTTATGTAAGTGATGTTCAGGAATCCGTATATGCTGTTAGATATAAACGCCAAGAAAATCAGCTTATAGTCTTCGCCGATGATACGCACCCGAGATGGATAACGACAACGTGCGTTCTAGATTATGATACCGTTGCCACTGCCGACAAATTTGGAAACATTGCTGTTGTAAGTAACACTGTATATTTCAGTAATTAATTAGGTACTAATAAAATTGTTCGGATAAGTATGTAAATTTTTCATATTTTTTAACAGATACGCTTAGCAAGTGGAATTAACGACGATGTGGACGAAGATCCAACTGGGAACAAAGCCTTATGGGATAGGGGTTTATTAAATGGAGCCAGTCAGAAGGCAGACACAGTTGCGTGCTTTCATGTTGGTGAAACTGTTATGTCTTTGCAAAAGGCAACTCTTATTCCCGGTGGTTCTGAAAGTTTGGTGTATACGACATTAAGTGGAACAGTTGGCGTCCTCGTCCCCTTTACGAGTCACGAGGACCATGATTTTTTCCAACATTTGGAAATGCATATGCGCTCGGAGCATCCACCACTTTGTGGAAGAGATCATTTATCATTTAGATCGTATTATTATCCTGTAAAGAATGTAATAGACGGAGATCTTTGCGAACAATTCAATTCTATTGAACCGACAAAACAGAAAAGTATATCTGGCGATCTCGAACGAACAGCTTCCGAAGTGTCAAAAAAACTTGAGGATATTCGTACGCGATATGCTTTCTAAGCTTTGGAATATAATTTATTATCGAATTATTACGAACTTGCATTCCGTTTTTATGAACTCAATATATTTTTCATAATAATGAATGAATACGCACTGATTAAATTATTTGTAAAAAAGAAAACATTACGTACATATTGTTTTTAATAAGCAGATTAAAAGGAAAATGTATAAAGACGTCAACGCGTATTATGTAATAAGTATGAATAATGTTTTATGTATCATATAATCACATTGAATGTGATGCTAGAAGATCGTAAACGGAAATTGTTTAAATTGAAAGAAAGGAAGTTTATTTCTAGTAGACAAATAGGTCTCTAAATTAATTTGTGTAAATTCTTACTTTATTTTATCGTTTCATCCTGCTTAAGAAAACACTGTAACGAAAACTAGTTTTTTATTGAGGTAAAATTATTGTATATCCAATCGATTTCTATGATTAGATGTGTATATGCATCGAGTGTGTATGTGATTTTCGTCAATAATATTTTATGGTCTCAAAAAACATTACTCCTAAGTATTTTTTACATTATTAATTATCATTATTGATGAAACATCATAATATAACTTTTTTAGTTCATACTTGTTACAGCTTAGCGAGAAAAAAGAGCTCTGATGATGAAAAAACTGAGCTCTGATATCTAGTGAAGAAAAAATAGAAAACACTTCGTCGACCTATTTTAGCATTATAAATACAGTATGCATATAAGACTGAACATACTGTCTCAACAATTCTTCAACTAAAAATAGATAATGGTCAAAACAGATATTTGAGTAATGACTAATTCGACAAATAAAAGAATTATATGATGTATGCTTCTCGAAATTAAAGTGTAATATTCTATTTAAAAACGAAAAGAAAAATATTTCAATTTTTTATCTTTTTAAAAAATATGTTCATTGTACAATGCATATACTTATAAACTAGACAAGAGACAACGTTGTGTTGAATAAATTTCTCCCCAAAAAATAGAACAAAAGTCGAGTGTTTCAAGCATGTATAGGTTTTCAAAGCATTATTATTACCCTTTTTGCGAGCATTCCGCAAGCTCATTTCTCTGCTCCACTATTGCTTCTTCTGTCTGTGTGCATCCCTTTCGACCTACAATTCGTCGCCAATAGCGCTCAGGGTTGTAGCTCGCATTTTTCTCCGTGAGCTTTGAAGCGCGAAGTTAATCCGCGTGCCGAAGCGTATTGAGGGTATAACGCAACGTTATTACCCCCGTTTAACCTTCAGACAACTACAAGTAGGTTACGGGGTATGAAGTTTAGATGCCCCATTTAAAAAAAGGCAAATATGCAGGACAAAAGATTATGATTATTTTAATGTATCATATTGGATCAATAAACGAAGAAGACGAAGTATTGGTATTTATCATTTCTTATCTCAAATAGTCCTTTTCCTCAAAGGACAGTTCTACTACGTATGATTTTTTGTTCGTATAATAGGAATTCGCGTTTAAATAACTAAATTCAATTTGTAACTCATTTACTAAATACACTAACTACATTTTCATTCCATTGTATTGACTTTAAAGCCTTATTATCTCAGAGAGTATTAGGTAACACATTATATCTCTAAATCTTTAGTAATGGACAAGACTCTCCCTTGGTAGCTGACCAGATTTGATTCCGAACCATGGTTAGAGCTCTCTTGTTCAATTTTATGAGTCACAAGATACCAATATTAATAATATCATTAAATTTGGTAACAAAATTAATGAAATTTTATAAATTACAAATTATTTTATTTAAAAATTGTAAAATCATAAAAAGTCTATATCTTATTATTCATCAATTAACTAGTATTATTAGCGGTAAATTGTTGTATAAGAAAGCCGAGAGGAGCTGCTGTCTCAATTATTTTACATGTTTGTATCCCTGAGGATATTTTTTCAAATAAGAAGCGTAGTGTACACGAAAAGTAATATAATTTATGTATATATATATCGGATAGTGAAACCAAATATTTAAACGCTATTCATATTTTAATATTTACTGAAATTTCATTTTCATTTTGGGGATTTAAAGAAAAGCGTGGTTAATGACTACGAGAGACCTAGTGCAGCCGGGTATTGTGATCGTTAGCTACGTCAGTGCGATACGTAGCGTGGTTTAGGGCGTTGAAACGGAGAGAAAAGGACCAAACGGCGATCGATGCATTGAGGTGCCAGGCCCCTGAGCTCAGCCCCGTTTCGTTCCATCACCCTTACCCCGGTATGCCCTGCAGCGAAGCTGCCCTCCGGGCTTTTCTCTTTACTGTGCAGTGTGCAGTTGCGCATCAACCTTTTAACAGTGTAGAGTTGCATTCGGTCACTGGACTTTCTGCCTCGTATAAACGTTACCCTCTTTCGAGCTCTTATTCTCTGTTGTGACTTACGATATCTTTGTCATTGTTGCTAAGTGTGTAGTGCATTCTAAAAAAAAGAAGAGAAAACGAAAGAGTGAATCTCTCGTGTTAGTGACTGAATTTTTTATTTTATATAGCACATTTAGTGAACATAAATTAATTCGGGGGTGATGTTAATTAACAATGTGATCCGTTATTATAATTATGTCGGCTGTCATTATTGTCAAGAGTCACGGTTTCGACGTGCTTGAACCACTTTCCAGGCATATGATCCCTCGAGCGTAGAACTTTGATTCGGTGTCATCGATTCAGGCTTGCTGTTGTGATGTTCGTTTCACTGACAGATGATTATGGTAAATGGATTCACACGTTAATAAATCAAAAAATGTTTTTTAAACAAGAACCTTTGCGTGCATCGTTTTACAAGTTGGCACACTCATTCTGGATCTCTATAAACATTGTCATTGTTTTTTCCATGAAGATTATTATATCCTTACATCTCATATACGTAATATATCATCATATACGTAATTTTTGTATCGTTAACTTTTTAATTTTTCTGATAGTTTTATTTATCATTACTGACGTGCTAAACATGTTAATGGCCACTGGTGTATTATTCGGTTTTTTCACCTTAGTTGATTCCGAGGAAAGGGAAATTTTTTATGGTAATCAATTAGACGCGGATGTTTATGGAATTTCATATTTTTATGAATGTAACTCAGGAAATACAGCTTTGCTCCACCCATTAAATACCGCACTAACCTCTTTATTTTGGATATCTTTTATATTTTTGCATATTAAGTGTATTCTATATATCTTTATATTTTTAAATTATTTTAGAATGCATAAACATCTGCAGTCTAACTATTATTATTAATTTATATTTGAAGTTAACTAGAAAAATTATTGAATTTTAAAATTTCCAGCCACGAATATGTTAATGTAGATCTACATGTGTTTGGTGTCAAAAAGGCCGGTAATGTATCTTGGGTTATATCGTGAAAAATAAAAAAACGATTTCACGCAAGAATGCATACAGATAAGTATGAAAGTGAAAAGCACATCAAAAGCTAGATTTTATCTCGAGAGAGATTTCGTTCCGATTCGACTTTCAACGAAGTCATTCGTGATAAAATTCGCCGTTTAATGTAAGCAACAGAGAATGTGTATGTATGTATATGCTTTTCATTACCTTCACGTATATAGAGCTATCCATAGCAAGTGTTTGACAAGACAGTTTAAAATCACAAACAGCAATCGTAAAGAGAAGTCTATCAAGATGATAAAATTTCACGCTTCAAGTATCTTTATTTGTACGAAGTATTTGTGTAAATATATAAAAGATAAGAGAGGTAATTAAGTGCCACCTCCTGGATTGAAATGCATTGTTTGCTGGTACACTTTTGGCCTTTATACAGTGCGGTCCAAGTATTTGATTTAACTTGTTCACCTACTTCGGTAAATGGTTCTTTCCCCCCTTTTACGTGACAGTGCTCTATAGTGACAGAATTGATTGTTAATATGTGGAAAAGTAGGTTGAACGTATTATAAAATTTGTGAAGTACTTCCGTAAAACGAATACCTATGTAATTTATTGAACTATGCTATTAGGATATTAACAAACAATTATTTCATCACTACATCACTATTTCACACATTGGTAATTTTTGAACAACAATTTTTAAAGAAAAAAACTCATAAAGTCATAGATAGGAGGAAGTCTAATTATTAATTATAGTTGTTAAATCTTTTTTAACATTCACTACAAATTTTTTAAATAATCTTACTCTATCTACAACGAAAAACTTTATGAACGCTTGTTCACAGGAGATAGCTGATGCTGGAGGTGGTTACAAACGATTTCGTGTAACTGTTCTAGTTCTGTTCATACTTTTATTCGGTTGGACAGACCGTGTGGCAGCTGGCGATTGCGGTCTGGCCGAGTTAACTTGCCGGGATGGGCATTGTGTACCGATTGACGCGTACTGTAATGGACGAGATGATTGCGGAGATAATAGTGACGAGCCAGCGATGTGTACACCCTGTAATCGTACGTATCACGGACGCGAAGGACGTACATACAAATTGGATCTTCCGAGACCTAGCGAGGAACGTCTGCCATTCCTTTGTCATTTAACGTTCACCGCTGCTGGCCAGGGGTACGGTGAACTTGTACAACTTTTGTGGGATGCGTTCAGCGTGGGCAGAGTAGACCCAAACACTGATAGCTTCGTTACCAGCTGTCCTGAAGGATCGTTACAATTAGCAGAATTAGGTAGACACTTTACGGGCGGCTCGTGGTGTGGAGTTGGAGAAGGGAAAGCTTCTTACTACAGCGAGACGAGTACAGTCACGGCGTCTATACGATTGTTTCACGCTCCTTCCAGCGTACCTTTTGAATTTCGTTTAAGGTACAGATTTGTGGCGCGCAACGAAGCCGTGGCTAGACTAGGAAAGCCTGAGCTTCCGATCGAAAGGGGCTCCCCCGTGCCGGGTACTTACTGTTCTAGAAACTTTTATGAATGTCATTTGAAGCAATGTAGACTACAGAGTCCCAACTATCCCGGGGAATATCCGAGAAATGCCAGCTGCTTGATAACTATAAGACAGAAGGAGGTGCCCACCTGTAAGCATGCTATGATTTCGGTGAAATCCACGCCGACTGGTCCAGTCGGGATTACCACAGCCAATAGTACTTTAAGTGTATGGCAAGATTGCCGCCCGGAGAAAGATCATCTTATCTTTCGAGACGGGGTTAGACCAGAAGATTCGATTTTATTGGTTTATTGCGGGGGACCTTTACCCAGGATCACTGCCAGAGGTCCAACTATGCAAGTGGAGTTCCGAAGTTCCCCGATAGCCATCCCCCTTGGTGCCTCTGCTTTGAGGCTCGAACTCGAGATTCAAGTAGTTTACGTCGACTCTGATGGCCTCGACTACGCCAAGGGCCCTCAAGGTTGCCATTTTTTTGTAAATGGTACTAACAAAAGGAGCGGCATACTGAGAGCGCCGCTTCACGCACTGCCACCAAATTCCAGCTGTACTTGGAATATCAAAGGATCCGCTGGGGACAGAGTGTGGATTTACTTTTCCTCTTACTCGCAACGGGACTTAACGGGTAGCGTCGAGAACAACGCCAGTTCTCAGTCGGATGTACCTTGCGCGATAAAGCTGATATTTTGGGATGGTACACCGTCCACTGGACTTCCAATGGCCACGCTTTGCGACGACACACCTAAGCTGTGTGCACACGCGGCTCTGAGGAATGTCACTAGAAGCACGAGACCCTGTACAGAGGATGAAAGTTACATCACAGTCGCACCATCTTTAACGTTGCGTATGGAAACGTTGTTGGGTACTGCACTTCATACGGTTAACTTTAATGTAAGCTAATAATATCATCGTTATTGACCTCAATTCGCTGTTATCTTTATCGAGAAATTATTAGGACATATTCTATCATTTTGTGTATTATCCTATTTATTCGCACAGGCACAATATGAATTTATTTCGACCACTCAAGTTGGCGAACCCTGGGGAGACGGAGTTTGCAGCAGAGTATGGCGCAAAGTTCGAAGCGGCGAGGTAACATCACCTCGTGATGTTCGTCTTTTTGGAAGAGGTGGATCCCCAAAATTAGACTGTAGATATCGTATAGAGGCTGGTGCAGACGAGAGGGTGCGATTGACGTTGCACAACGTCAGTCTAGGCGAGTCTACTATTTGCACGAGCGAGCCAGACCCTCATACTGGCCGACCACGTTGTGTTCAAGAAGTGGGTTCCAGAGAAGCTCGTTTAGTTTTATACGAAGCGCCCTGGCGGGATGTAAAGCTTCCGAGAGCTTGTTTATGTGATAACACGTCGCATCTTCCATTGACGCACATCTCTTCGAGCAGAGCTTTAGAGATTACGTTTTTAATCGAACAACAAGCTCCGCACGAAGACTTTGAAACTCTTTTTTTTTATGCTAGCTTCGAACTTGTTCGTGCACCCGAGTGTCCCAGAAAGCAAAGAGTACGCGGAGAAGGTTGTTATTTCACTACTCAATTTGTCATTGTATAGAAAACATGTACAAAATTGTATATTATATCTATCACTATAAGTAATTTAAAGATTTTATTTTATCGTTAATGTGAATTCTATTTTTATTATTGTAAATTCATTATGAAGACATTTAGTAAACACAATTTTAATTACACAATTTGTTTCATAAAATAAAAAGTTATAATTCTAAAACCTTATACAGTTTTGTACTGGTTTGTCATCACAGTCACAGATTCTTCAAGTATATTAACAATTTCTCTTTTTTGCAGGTGGTGAATTACGATTCGTGGCTCCACCATTATCGAGACCAGATATTTATTGTGAAGGACTTCCATGGTTAGTGGAGGCACGCGAAAACAGGTCCCTTTTCGTTTTAACTTGGGGCTGGTTCCTCCCCCTAGAACCATCGCCGATATCAGAAATGAACGAACAAAGCAAATGTCCAACCACCAACAGAATCCTCCTTTACTCCGGTTGGCCGCCAAAACTTCTAAAAGTAGTGTGTCCCGCTGAACCAGGTGCAAGAGAGTTCACCGTTCACGTCTTCTCCGAAGAGTGGCTAGGAGGCACCGGCGAGGGTAAATGGCCAGGTCCACCACGACCTCCTGCGCTTTTGCTGGACTTTGTTGCAAGAGAATCTGGTCAGGCTGCAGCCTCGTGGTTAGAAATTTCGAAGAGCAGAGCTGCATTACGTAGACAGCTACGTTTACCCGAAAGAGGAATAGAGAATGAGACATTGGCTAACGGAGACTGTCCCCATAAGTGTCCCGAATTAAGCGCTTGCATTGCCGCGAGTCTTTGGTGTGATGGGAGAGCTCATTGTCCGTCCGGACACGATGAAGCGAATTGTGGTAACGGGGCGAAATTACTTGGATTATTACCTTCGGAAATGTGGCTGGTATTAGCCGGTGTCGCTGGAATTATCGCTGCCTTTGCGTGCTTCTTTGTGGTACTGATTAGCAGGTATTATCACAAAGCATGAGAGTGTGTGAGAGAGAGAGAGAAAGAGAGAAAGGAGAGAGCCTATATAGTTATTAATTTTTTATTTTTATTCCAGGTCAAAAGCGCGTACGAAAAGACTTCACTATAAGGGTACAAAAAAAAGCAATAGACCGAGGCGAGCGCCGACAGAGGAGACGCTACTGGGAGCAGCATCCTGACAACAGCAGCCCGGTTTCGTGGAATATATCCATGTAGACCGGGAAACAACCGTTTAGCAATATTTCTCTGTGCTTTACCGTCCACTAACTTAACACTATCCCCAGGCATCGTAAACCAAATGTCGAAGTATCTTTCTTTCTAAAATAGCATTTATCTATTTTTTTGTTACGTTTAATTCATTATATATTTTAAACTTGCAGCTGTTGCTTAATTGTAATTGTTATAATATATTTGTTCGTTTACATGTTCCTATTTTTTTAGATACTACATATAACTGTAACGTGTTATCACGATTAAACAGTGCAATAGGGATGGGACGCAAAAACGATGCTTTCTCTTTCTTTGGAAAACTATTTCAAGTTTGAATAACGTAGCTTATCACTTTGTAGTACGGACAGTTAGAGTGACAGCAGTATCAGTGTTCTCATTCATGCATAATGAGTGTATGATAGTGAGAAGTGAATGGTAATACGCATCGTTACAGAAACTGCTTTAGAAAAACTAGAATACTTCTGAAGGTATAATGTAAAATTGTATACCAAAAGTGTACGGCTAAGTTACGTTATGACACTGTAACTTCATTCATTGACACGATGTTTTATAAACCAGAGAGATAGTAAATGCAATTAATATAATATACAGGAATAAATCTATAATTTAAAAAATATCACACATATTGCTCAAAGAATATTGTAACTGCCAAAAAGAAAAAGATATTTTAATTTCGATTAGCTGATATAACATTTTTAGCAGCAATAGAAAAGAAAAAAAAAAATAGACGAAGTATTTCAAACGCAGAAGAGGATAACTTTTTTATATTTTAATGTAGGAGAAACAAAGTTAAATTTAAATAAAAATGGGAAGATCGACATTGATTACATAATCATAGTTACATCTATCGACGATGCCAAAAAGTTAATTTTAACGTGTTCAGTATCTATATTTCTCCTGAGATTTTTAAACATATTTTTATGACTTTTGCTCAGATATTTAATTATATATTTTGAATAAGTTACATTGGAAATAAAGAGAGAGTTCTGTAAAAAGTAAAAATAGTTATTTAACTCGAAAGCTTATTGAATTTGCTAAACAAAAATTGTCGACATTGATGATATTGATATTTATTATTTTTCATTTGCTAAATAGAAAAAAAAATACTACAAAAGTACTATATTTATAAGGGAACAATTGTAGGTCAAGTTCCAGCGCACAAGAGATTGTGAGAAAAAAGAAGGAAACGAAAAAAAATTAGTTGAAATTTATGGTACAATATTATATAACAGTGTTTTCTTCATTTCTTTATATTACTTAATTAATTTTCCATTTTAATTTGAAATTTCGATAAATAGAATTTATTTATGATCGTACACAATATCTTAGAAATTGTATCTCTTATTGCATATTTATGTATTTATTCATTTACAATTTACGTTTCTTTAAAAGTTAACTAACTAGTTTGCAACAATATATACAAGTTAGTGAAATATATTCTTATTAACCAGATGAAAACCAATCGAACTAAATAAAGTATAGGAAAATAGAAGGAATTAGAGGATATTTCTGAAAATATTCTAAAAATGATAAAAAAAAGAAGGATCATTCATAAAAATCGCTGTTATACAATATTTAGTACTACAGTTTATAGATGCACTTACAAAATAAAGTTAAACATAGCTGTGACACAAAGTGTTGGAAGATACTGATATAATTTACGATTATAAAGCACTCGATAATGTTAAAATGTTGTTATTAAAATATAATTGCTGTTACAACTGAACAACTAATACGTATTATTTGAATAAAAGAGAAGGAGATATTCGCCTATCCGGTTATTTATAATTAGATGATTCGTACACGAACGATTTAATCAATTGAATATTTTAAAGCGAAAAATTTAATCTTAGATGCACGAATTACGATTCAGAGGAATAAATCAAACATAGTTTTTAATTCAAAGTAACTATGATAATAGGTTATGGTACATGAATATATCAAGTAAGAGGATATAAATTAAGCATCACTATAAGGACTGAAAGTAAAATTGCGAGATGCGGTGATTAAATAAATAAAAAAAAAAAGGAAAAAAGAAAAAAGCAAAAGATGTAATGATAAGTGCTATTCGAAAGTTAACAGTTAATGTATTATGTATCTAGCCTTTAGAGGACGTACATACAAATTAGAAGTGGAATATCTAATACCTGGGATCTGTATCACACTATACGTGAATTCTTTGCAAAATTTATCTTTTTTCTTTTTTCTAAAATTCTTACAAGATGTTTTACAACAATCGTGATTATAAACCATTCTTCCTATACATTTAAAGAAAAGAGTAATGACAACATTTTCGAAAATTCGCAACGAATTTCGGAATTGTGAAATGGATTCGATATGAAAAAAGATGCACTTCCATGTATGTAATAATATATGAGAACTGAATGTACATACCATGGTCTGCTTAAAAGATTTCTAATTGTGATATCTAAATATGGTACTATACGTCGCGTTATACAATAATTTTATTCATTTGCTTTCTATAGAAAGAGCATAATGACATGTATATAAAAAAAAAAAAAAAAAAACAAAAGAAGATAAAGAGTTTTAGATTTTTAATATTTTGTTCTTCAATCGTCAGAAAATTAATTATTCAGAATTTTATATCTTAACTAGAAGCACTATGTATTGTTATTTTAATGGATGTGTGTTCATCGTTTTATCATTCCATATAAATAATTTGACGTAGTTTCGTTTTATATAGGCTGTGTTGTTTTTATGTAATCAGATATCCGAGTGATATTAATTTACGCAGACCATGTAGCTCAATATAAGTAGCGAGTATTAGAAACAAAATAACTTTTACGGGAGAATTCGATACCGCGTGTCGTCTCCTTTAAACTATTCTAATCCAAATACACGACTTAGAGTTTTGAGAGAAATACATTTTATGAAGAGTAAAAGAGAAAAAAGAGTATACTTATACTAGGCTCTACTTTAGTAACGAATTTACTTAAGAGGAAAAAGAATCCAAATATTATATATATATATATATATATACATACATATATATTATATATATATTTAAGACTTATACCCAGATCGTGTACCCGTTCGTTTAAAATTTGTAGAATAAACAAAAATTGATCTATTATTAAGGGATTTACTCTTAAAGAATAGAGTACAGAACATATTGCCTTTTACAACATAAGAATGACACGAGGTCGCGCATAATCTCATCTAAGAGTAAAGAGTGACATTACCGATTATTCCACTACACTTTAATCGTAGAACTAGCTGCCAAACCATACGAGTTAACATATTCTAAAAATATTCTCCTCTATTCTTTTCATTAATTTATTTACAAACCCTTCCAGGGGAAAACATGTACAATCTTCTACGTTCAGTTCTATCACTGCCTCAAGAAAAAAAAAAAAAATAGAAAGAGATACAGTAAGGGGATTGTAAAACGACAAAAGTTCTATTCCTTGCAGAAATGTATTTTAATCTTTATTAATTCAAATTTACGTAATCATGTTTCTCCAATTCGTTTTCTTGAAACTCTATGTCATTATGTCGATGATGCAATTACAGTTCATAAACTGTTATTCTAATGACGAAGTGATTGTGGTGAAATGCAGAGGCGAAGAATATAAGTGCGAAGAGAAGAAAGAATTATTGATTTTCCTTGAGCACACGTTTGTATCGATACTTTCAATTTTAAATAAATACGAGAAATTTCAAATAGTCCTTAATTATCTACCCTAATCATTGCACTATATGTATTCCTTACATTACTAGATTTTTAAATTTTGAGACATTTTAAAGAGAGCTCTGCGCGATTATATTTGTCGTGTCGTCTTCCAGACTTATTTCTCTAGTGTTCTTTAAATAAGCCAGGTGTGCTTGCTCCCGAAGAGATTGTGCCATAGTTACTCCTGTGTTGTTTACCATATTCGAGAAAATTCCTTCGGGCTTGTCTCGCAATAATTCATGAGGGCAACCGAATTCCTGTTTTAATAGATATAACATATATCATAATGTTAATCCATAAATATGTATATATATATATATCTACATATATATATATATATATATATATATATAAAGTTGTAATACAAAGTCCTATTCTTATTTCTCTCAACTAATTTAAATTATTGAACTCAAGTATGAACACATATGTGTAAAAACAAAACAAATTTATGTTACAATTCAGTATTTATAGTTACCAATATAGTTACCACGTATAGTCTTTTTGCTCTAGAATGTAAATTATTGGATCTCAATGAATCTCTATTATTCTCAAGTAAATTAGTATGTCAATGATACGATCTCGATGGCACCTATACGTGTTCATATTTCCAGTTCATCTTAAAATGAATCGTACCGCTATATAACCGTTGTCCATTACTATAATTCTGTCACTATCAATAATAGTATGCAGACGATGAGCAATTGTAATGACAGTACAGTCAGCAAATCTCGTTCTTATGGTTTTTTGAATTAGTTCATCCGTGCTTAAAAGAAATTATAGTTAGATATATAAGAAATTAAAATTTCTAGTGAACGTGAAAGTTATACAAGATATTAAAATTACTGCGTATCGATATTAGCTGTAGCCTCATCCAAGACCAATATTCGGTTGTTTCTTAAAACTGCTCTAGCCAAGCATATCAACTGTCTCTGTCCAATACTCAAATTACTTCCGCCATTCATTACCCTTTGATCCAGTACAAGATTGTTCAATTCGACCTGTCGAAGACTATCCCATAGTAGCACGTCATTATAAATATGGGATGGGTCCAGATTGTAACGCAATGATTCGGAGAACAAAAATGGGTGTTGAGGAATAATCGATATTCGCGAACGTAACTCATGCAAACCTAATGTACTACTATCTCTTCCATCAATTTTAATCTCTCCTTGCAATCCTTCGGCAAATAGCCGGAAAAACGCTGATATTAAAGACGATTTTCCTGCGCCAGTTCTACCTACGACACCAACTTTCCATCCCGCTTCTATCGTCAAATTTAAGTTCTATGAAAATAGAAGAAGTTAAGGATAAATAATTAGAATTTCATAATTCCATTAAAATAATATTCGTCTAATAATTCTTGCATGATATTTGTTCTTGTCTCATCACCTTTAATACAGGAGTTTCATCTTGGTCATATTTCATGCTAACATTCTTCAGAGCCAATTGTCCATGTTTTGGCCAATCTGCTGGTGGTGGATTGTCGCTGGTCCATGGACCTTCCTTAGGCAAATTAATATATTGTAGGATCCTCTCTACAGACGTTATGTGAGCTATCATTTCGCCACTTTGTCTCATCCCGTGTTGCAAAGTGCCAACTATAATTAACGACTGCGATATAGCTAAACCGACGTTACCACCAAGGACGTTACCTATGGTCAGAAATATCAAACACATTTTAAGTGAAAATTTACAAAAATAAAATTCTAATTTCCTTTCTTTTATATTACCTGTATCCACTAGGATAAAAGACAAGCAGACACACGCAACGAACATTATCGCGACAAAATCTAGATATAGTCCAAAAGTTTCAGGGACGCTTATGGTCATGCACCATGCACCTGTATGCACATCTTGTAAATCGTCAAACTGTTTTTGCACTAACTCCACGATATTCGAGCCGCTACTTCTGATAGTGGCCAATCCACTTAATGTAGCGTTTACATGGGAGAATATTGGACTCTTTGCTGCAGATTTATTAGAATTATGTAGCTCTTTATAATGAATTTTTCTTATTAATTAATTATAATTATAACAATTAATTATAAATAGACTTTTCTAAACAGAAACCTGTTTCATACATTAAATACTATAATAATTAATTTGGGTTTTTACACCTTGATATTTCATAAGAATGCATAAATATTGGCAATCTAATTGTGAAATACTTGCCTATACCCTCAAGACGCTTGATACTTTGAGCGGTTCTTAGATACGTATTCCTTGTAAAATAAAATAGAATAAGAAATACCGTTAGTGGAATGAGCATCCAATAATTCATGG